AGCTGCCGTCACCACTGCTCACCGTCACCTCTGTCCAGATGTGATTCTCTGCTCAAAAACAGATGTACGACGTGACCCATATTCAGACCTGGAAATCTGAACTCGACACAACTGGGTTTTACAGTCGAGCAGCAGCGAGATCCGCGATATTGTTATCAAAAGTGCAATTATAGACTGCGAAGATTGCAGAAAACTAACCCTGACACTTAACAAACATGGAAGGATCCTGTTTTATAGTGTACACATGTCACTCAAGGTTTTGATTTCTATAAAAAAAGCAACATTAGAACATGTTCCAATCAAAGTTTAGTTTAATTCCAAACACTGGAGGTTTTATCAAAGGAGAAACTGTATCTACAAATGAGAAACTGCTTGTAATGTTCTTATTTTTGGTAAAACTTTAATACTAAAGAGAGAGATGAGTAAAAAAAAAAGCCATGAGCGGAATATTCACACGAGACACAATCTAAATGATAAACACCCAGAATAACCAAAATCTTCCTCTTGATATAGACATGCCTTTCTGTGCAGTGGTTCTTTTGGCACCCCCTCGGCTGTTTACAGTGAGCTCCTATTTGATATTGATCTCCATTGGCCTCAAACAGTCGCTTTGGATATACTGCATGGAACAGCCCTAAATAGTAGTGCTCATTTCCCCATTTATCGTATATATATTTATTTGTTTTATTTTATATTATCCAGATGTTACTTCCTGAGTAGGCATGGTCAGTCTCAAAGAGGCTAACTCATTGACCTGACATCTTTCAAAAGAACCTAAAATAAATAAATCAGAAAAAAATGAACCTATTTGAATCCAGATATTGGTGCTCGGCTTAGTCAGGACAACTGGGGCTGGAGGATTGTCTCCTGTTGTACATGTTTCTAGTGGATGGGTGAACCAGATCACCCTGAGGAAACCTGTACAGACAAGGAGAGAACATGCAAACTCCATGCAGAAAGGCCCAGTTCCGACCAGGATCCGAAACCGATGGGGAAGGTCTCGAGGCGCTCTGCCAATGCTCTACCAACTGAGCCACTGTCGCCCCAAAAAATGTAAAATGTAAACATCCATATTATCCAACATTTCAGGATCGGCTTTGATAGGGTCATGTTTCCTCGAGTCTAGTACCGCGTCGACCATCAAAAACATAATTTACGAGGCCCCAAACTGGAACTGAGTTTTACAGTCGAGATAGACAGTTATTACATTCAACCTTTGCTATCCAATTACAGCAGTCCCTATGTCTTCATCAAAGTGGAGGATTATTCATTATTAACGGCAAAACTCTTCTCTTTCGGGACGCACCAAAACACGAGCAGACAGCGCTGTGTAGTGTGCACAACGATTACATTGTGCGCCATTAAACACACCACAGGCAAGAAACAACAGGGACGTTTGGAGCATGACGTTCCGCCAGACAAATTGCATGAAGTTTTACGAGCCTGTGATGTATTTTACGGCCAGTGAGTCACGATAATTTCTTTAACATGTTGCCACCAGATCTCATTGAGAGCTCCCTGCGGTGCCTCTGTCTCTGCGAGAGAGAGGGAGAGAGTGTAATGGTAAAGTAAAAGGTCAAACTAAACACATGAGACTGGAAGTACATCACAGCACTTTGGAGGAAAAGTGCAGTAAAAACACTTCCAGATGCACTCCTGGATTCAGCTGCACGGAACAGGCCGACAAGTGGGGCCGAGAAATGTGGTGTGATCACGTTTAAACATGTGATGGTTTCAGCAAGAAGTTTATGTAATTTATGAATAATGATAGTATGTTTTAAGCTAGCCTAAGGCCTAGCGTACATGGACAGAGTAACTGGAGACCACTAGTTGCAAGGCGGCTTTTGGCAACTGAGAGGAGATGGTGGAGATGATCAGTCGATGTGAGCGCTCTTACAACTGGAGATAAACAGTCGATCTCCGGATTCAGTCAGTTGCCCGTGTTCTACTTTTCGGCAACTAGTTGTCCTCAGATCCAGAGATATCACCCGATGTGCGCGCTCCAACAACATGTGTGTATTGCGTGTATTGCGCTCTCTACAGTTTGTGTCAGAAAACACACTGTAGTTGAGGCCAGTTGCTGTCGATGTACGCGCTGTTATTCCCGAGACTGGTCTGATACTGGGAGTTGTCCGTTTTCGTCAGATTGTCGATGTGTGCGGGGCAGCAACTCATAGGCGACGGATATATATAGTTGCCAGTCCGATGTACGCTAGGCATAAGTCTACACTGCAAAAAATACTGAAATATGGGGTAATAATTGCATGAATCGTGTGGTTTAATCTATTTAAGAACATTCTGACTGTGTTCAAACAAGATTTGCCAAAGGGACGAAGCCATTTAGTTTTATTTCAAAATCTGTTACTGTATTTTCTCATTCCAAGGGAGACATTTCTTGTATCTTTTTAAATCAAGATTACTTTGTCTCATTGGCCAATCTAGTTTTAAGGAAGTCTGAATGTGCTCAAATTAAGATGCCCTTTGTCAAATTTAAGCATTTTTTTAATTCATCACTTCTTGCAGTGTTGTATAGATTCTAAGGGTCTGGTGCGGTTCACTTGGTTCATGAACAGGACTTTGACAGGAGTTTAGTTCAAATGAGGAAATAATACCATTATAGATCTGCTTTAAAACATGTGAACTGCCTTAAAGCTGGGGTATCTAACTTTCAAACTACAAAACATACAACTATGTAATAAAATAGAGAGCTACTTGCTCTCAAAACAGTTTGGTTCTATTCCCAGTTTTCTTTTGGCCTCTTTCTTTTTGCTAAATTAGACAGAAAAGTTAATAAGAGGGGACCATTGTCACTCAGCCAATCAGCTCTCAGCCCAAAGTGTCAAATAGTGACTCTCAGGGCTCTTTCTTATATGCAGAGGATAAAATGTTTGTTTGATTTCTTCACAAAATGCTACTTTTACAAGATTATTTTTTTGGGACAAACAACATCTATTATCAATACCCTTGCTTTAAATGATTCATGGCCATATTTGTCCCAGTGAACCAGAATTAGTCCAGAAAACTGATCCAGAACAAAAAGAATGCGCCTCAAATCTCCTCCTACAAGTGGAGTATTTTTTTATTGATGTTGGCTCAAATGAGTCTCTTTTCAATACTAGGTTTAGCATTGATTAATATGAGATTTTTGATACTTGTTTTTTTTTTTTTTTTGATACTTTGATGTCTGTAAAACAATGAAATTTTAGCTAAAAATGGCTTAATTCACACAATTACTATTAATAATTGGTCGGTGTGCAATAACAAGCCTTATGATCCAGTTTTGGTTCAGTCCAACATGAAGTCTATGCAGACGCAAGGAGAACATGCAAACTCCACTCAGAAAGGCCTTGTTCCGACCGGGATTCGAACCTAGAACCTTCTTGCTGAGAAGCGAGAGTGCTATCCACTCAGGCCCCTTCGCCCTATTCAGATTCAGATTAAGTTTCAGTTTTCTTTACCATGTGCAGTAAAACCACATTGGAATAACTGTGCAAGAGGGCCCCAGGGCGCACTAGACCAGTACACACCAGAGCTCTTGCCACGGCACCAGTGATAGAAAAGTAGTTTCAATATTTGTTGTTTATTGAGGTCACGGCGGCCAAGACTCGTGGTGGTGATTTCTTTAAACTGGCTCAGTACGAAGGCAATGAATTTATCTCTTTTATCAGTGAAGCTGAAGACACGACACAGACTAGAGCAGTAACCTTGCACAGTGAACTTGTCCATTGATAAAATAAATGTGTAAAAACAGCCTTGAACTGGGTGTGAATGGAGGATTTTTATGACATCACTTTAGAGACTTATATTGAAGTGTCATATTTGTCACAATACTAACTTTGATAATGAGCGGCCGTTTTTTTAAGATACAATAATAGTATATAAGATAATGTAACCTTTCACAGTACTACAAAATTAAATGATTCTGAAATGTAAAACAAAAAAACTGTTTAGGAAATATTTATTGTATAATTTAGTTTTCATGAAAATGGACTTGTTAAGGTTATTTTAGAATCATTAAAAGGCCAGTCCCTTGAATAATGTATAAACTGTTACAAATAAAACAGCAAAAATTTACTAAATCAAACGACTTTTAACAATCTCTTTAAGATCAGGAGCACAGGGACTGGACTCCTGCTGGTGTCCTGAGTCAGAGCTAGAAATGTGGAAGCTGCATTTCAGACTCATGCAGCTAAAATCTGGAACAGTCTTCCTGAAAATGTGAGACAGGCTTCTTCTCTGATAAAGTTTAAATCCAGGTTTAAAACACCTTCTGTTTAGCTGTGCATATAACTAAGGGACTTTAAACTTGTATCTTTATTTTCAATGTACTGTGAATGTGATTATTTTATTTTTGATTGTCTCTGTTTGGTTTAGTTCAGCACTTTGAGTTGCCTTGTGTTTGAATTGTGCTATACATAAAAACTTGCCTTGCCTTGCCATACAGTGAAGCTGGACGCGCCTCACACACGTACACATGCGGCCGGACAGTGAAAAAAAGCTTTTACAGGAATTTAAATTGACCTCAGAGAAGGATTTTCAGTCCCAGCGCTTCCATCATGCGGAGGAACGGCCTCTCTTTAACCAGAAACAGATTTTAAAACCTTTCTCCATTTACCACCACTTCGCACATTTTTACGCACTCCTGCACATCACAGAGACAGATTGAATGACAGACTTATAGCCAACGCCCCATTCAACAACTACCGGGGTTATTTCCAACCTGGATATGAAAAATCAGTGATATAAACGCGTATTGGAATATGCATTTATAGTACAGTATGGAATAAGCTGTGCGTAATGGCTCAAACTGGCACCATCTCAGCCAAAATGACCAAAACACAACACAATGTAATCAAGATATTAATATGACATTGATATTAAGCAGCGGGTTAATAATAAGTTGTTGAATGCGCGTGGAAAGTTAAACGAATAAATAATGTGTGATTAAGTGGAGCAATGGAGCTAAGTTGGGGATAGCGACTCCAGCTGAGAAGGCTTACCGGGTTTGGAGTGATGTACACGGGCGAGAGGAGAAGCGTGGTGCCCGGGTGCTCCGGAGGTTGCAGGACCCCGCGATGAAAACTTGCTCTGACGGTCACTTCATAAATACTTCCATGTGCGACAAGTTCAGCATGAAAAACAAGATCTACTGTACGGGGAGGATTTCAAAATAAAAGCGAAAACCAGAGAAGGCGACGCCTGATTTCAAAATAAGAGTCGTTAGTCGCCCGCTGTTTTGACACAAAAATGGAAATATTGACTTTTTTCTCATTTGTCTTATGCTTTTTGAAATAACTGTTCATTATTGTTTGATGGGGGATGTTTAGTTCAAGATTATAGTTAATTTTAGTTGCAGAAATATCTTCATAATTGGTCTGTGTTTTTTTCATGTGGTTTTATTATTACCTGATTTCAGTAAACGTCACTACATGCTATAGACGATATTTTCGATATATTTTAAAATACAGATAGAGCAATTTAAATAAATATAGTTTAAATGCAGGTTATTAGAGTTATACGCAACTTCTGGGATCCAGTCACTACAAACTTGGTGAGATTCATTGATTCATTTTCAAACCTGTCTACAAATATTCAACAAAAATAAGGAAGAAACAGATTTATAAACATGATACAAAATATATTTATATACAAATCACTTATTGATGCATCTTAATAAAGTTTCAGTTGATTTAATAGGGAAACTTGACCGGGGAGTATGAAACCATCATTCATATTATAAAGTGCTTTCTTACTAAAGCAATTTTTAGTAAGTAAGTAATCTTTATTTATAGTGCTGTCAAACGATTCAAACATTTAATCGCAATGATGTCTCTGTTCTAAATGTCCCTTGATTTTGTTTGAAAAGAGTTTGAACGAAACATAATCTTATACAAATAGTATTCAAAAGCCAAAACTTATGAGCTGTAAGGTGGATGATTCTTTCTCTTTCTGAAGCCGGAGGACAGAGTGTGTCTCGGTGCTGCTCGTAAATTCACCTTGTGCAAAGTGAAGTCCATTTGCACAGTGCACTCTGCCAGTTCGTTAAAACTTTCCATTGTTCTGCCAACTTTTAACCTTCAAAGAGGTTGCTCAATCATTGCAACACAAATGCATTTCTGCTGAGCTCAGACTTGTTCTGTTTTGGATGCAGCCACTATCAACACATTGGTATTGACACGTTATGTAAACATCACATCTGATAGCTGATTTCAATGCTAATTTATTATTTCTGTATCATTTTTAAACCACGTTTTTCTCCTATAGCTGTCTGTCTCAGTGAAGTTTTGGTAGTTTTTGCTCTAAAAATTGTTATTTTGACATAATGTGCAAGATTTCATTTGACTTTTGTACAGGAATAGCAGGATTCTGTTTTTATTTTTAGGGTATTTTGGGTTAGGGTTGGCACTGAGGAGGAGCTATGGGTAACTAAAGATGGCCCTGGTCACTATAGTCACTGAAAGTACAATAACTCCCATAACCGTCATTTTGACTGCTCCTAATCAAACCAATGTAATCCTGAAAAACCAAAATGTTTAGTTTTTCACCAGATTTATTAAAAGTAGATAATTTGTCATTTCATTTTTACAATCACTCATGTTTAATTAGTGCAAAAACTGGTGAATACAACTGAAACACAGAAAATTAGGCTCATGCTAATGACCAATGGGCTAACTAGTAACCGCAAATAGTGTGTTGCTATAGTAATCATGCAGCTCTGGTGGAAAACCAAGCTGAACCAGTCCAGGACCAGCACCATGAAAAAGGTCTTTAAATGCCAATGAAAGACAGCAACTAAAAATGACTACATTTGAATTTTAGTGAAAAGTAAATGATAGTTCCTCAAAAATAGACCCAGGAAAAGAACTACATACAGATACGGAAAAGGTCACAAACTTATGAAGTCCAAACATGTTATGAGAGGCTGAGTAATTGAGTAATAGCTGAGTCATTACACCTCCAAAATAAAAAGACATCAACTTGACTGCTTTGGGAGTTCGAGTGTCAACATTCATTCATTTTTTTTCATTAATTTGTGCTTATTCTTTTAATGAAAATGCTGTTGCACTTTTCAGCTTCAAAACATCATATACATCAAACATTAGCATGATACATTTCCATGATTGGAAAGGATCAGAGGAAGAAAAAAAATCTTATGTTTATCTGCCCCTTTTAAGTACATTAAAGTAAACCCCAAAATGCATTGTGTTTTAATCCTGAGCTCCATAAAATAACAAAAAAATATACATAACGACGCTAAGACTGTTGATTTGAAGAGGGCTTTTATTTTCCTCGGACTCTGACACTGTAATACCACAAAGGGAAGACATTTGTACAATTTAGTGTCATTTCCCCCGAAAATAGAAGTTAATCACATTCACAAACACAATTGCAGCAGGTCTCACAGACAGGAAACCGGACAGTTGAGGATTTGTATTTTCCACGTGTTGCTTTTTCTACTGTATGTTGTTCTATGTACATTTACAAACAAAATGGTTGAAGACTGAATCAGGCCATGGATCTAGGACTGGGCCTATAGGGACGAGCTCATATGGATCTGACAGTCAATACAGTTATCCCGTATTTGCCCTGCTGCTCAAGCCGGTACGCTATTTGCCAATATCGGTATAAGCAATACAAATGAAGAAAAACCGAAAAACTATAGATTTCCATTTATTCATTGAAAATACTGGTTTTTAAAGCTGGGATATCTATGTTTGAGAGCCGGGATAGTTCGATTCTCTAGTTTTCACATGTGTGTATATTTTAGCTTCCGTCACATCAATACGTCAGTTTTTCAGACAGAAAAGTGAAAACGAGAGGACCACCATCACTCAGGGAACCAGCTCTCATCCAAAAGCATGAAATAGGGACTCCAAGGGAAAAATATGACATCTTTGCTAATAAGATAAAGCTAGCATGTTGTGGTCTGATTACATGACTCTTTCAACCCAGACAAAATAAAAATAAAACGTTTGGAACCCCAGCTTTAACTGCTGCTTTACCCCTTCATTCTATACTGTATATATTTAACCAATAGAAAATTAAAAAACGCAAATATCAGCATTAACTCATTGAATTAACTCATTTAACTAAGCCCATGCATTTTGTCTTTTCCCTTTGAAAATTTAACAAATATAGCAGTATTTTCCTTTTAAATCTCTAATGTTATGCTACTGTTTTGAGAGACTATTGGGATAAACAGTGGAGCAGATGACAGAAGGAGGATTACATGAAAAAAACATAAAATTTACAGCACAAATTAAATATTTACAAATCTACATCAGGAAAAACATTTCTGAATATAGGCACTTCATTTAAACAGTTCAGCCAGTCCTCGGGTCTCCGGGCCACGGCAGTAACATTTTGGATTTTAAAATGAAAACTCATAGCCCTAATCAACAAAGTGTATATCATATTGTAGCCACGCACACAATTTTACAATGTACACACAAGGAAGCGCTACTTTCCAAGCATACAAATAAATGCTACAATTATTCTAACATGCACCAAAAGACTGGAATGAACATCCACCTGCTTTCTGTCAAAAACAAAAGCAATGAGGGAGAAAGTGCAAATTAGAACAACACATTTCCCAAATCCCCTCTGGTTACTATTAATAATGTCACACAGAAATAAATAAAATAAATAAAAATAAAGTTTATAAATAGAATATTTGCAAGAAAAGGCAGTGTTAGGACTATGGATGAAGTATCAGTAGTGTAAAGTTTACAGTGAAACTATGAAAATAAGAATCGTTCAAAAGTCCATTTACTAATAATATATGACAGACTCTCGCAAAGTGAGATCCATTCATTTTATTCCATATAATTTCTTGCTAAGTCGCGGTGGCACCAGTATAAGCAGAGGCCCAGACTTCCCTATCCGAGTCCTGACCAGCTGGGAGACTTTCAATTAAAGTCCCTCCCTTCCTCTGTGGGATGTGCCCTGAACACCTCGAGAGGGGAGGTGTTCAGGGAGGCATCAGAAACAGACGCACGGCCACCTCAACTGGCTCCTCTTGAAGTGGAGGAGCAGCGGCTCTACTCGGGGCTACTCCTGTGACTGAGCTATCTACATCGATATTCTGCTCACAGCTTGTAAAAATACCAAAACAAAACAAAATGTATATATCACGACCATCAAGATAGGCTTGGTATATGTCACTGAGGTGTAATCTGTCTTTATCATATATTACTTTCACATCTTAAATTGAATTACAGAAATAAATGAACGTTTGAACGACATTGTAATTTTCTGAGTTTCACTGATATATGTTGCTATTCTATTATCCAGTAACGAGACACATTTTCATGTTGAAATAACATAATGAGTGTATGTCCAGCACTGGTCACAGAAATGTACCACTATAATAAATGGACTTTTTCAGTTGCTTGTTTTACAGTGAAATAATCTCAAAAATGCTTAAAATGCGTACTCAAACAACATGTGTTTCTCCCAGACTGTAGTACGCAACTTTTCTAGTGGAGGTTCTGCTTTTCCATCTACATTAGAGACTAGGGGACTTAATAGGCATAGTTCCATGTCATATCTGTGGAGAGGAGAGCCGACCCAATGTCAGGATTCAAGTTTTTGAGCAGCAATATCTATAATTGGATCATATAGACTTTTGTACCGAAAAGAGGAACCTCTCAAGCACTGCTATCACAACAACCTCCACAGAAAAGTTGCACAATTCACCTTTAAGGAGCTTAGTAAAGATTGTACTCAAGTAAAAGTACTACATATCTGGGCTAAACTTCAAAAGCAAGGGACTTTTTTTTAGACGGCGAGTAGTGGTAATCTTAAGTATTTGCGTACATTTGTAGTATGTGTAGTGTTTCCCAGCTCTAGACAGAATTTATTAGGACCATTATTAGTACCATTCGTAATATTGCTAATAATAACGAGATTTCAAATGTAAAAGTGTATCATATTTTAAAATACTGAACACGGTTTTAGAGTGAGCTTAGAATTTGGGTTATTTCTACAGCTCTCACCAAAACGACTGATGTTATGACAATGTTTGACCACTAGATGCTGCTGCTGTAAAATGTTAGAGATAAAAAGTGTACATACATATCTGACAACATGTGCAGCACAAGAGATGACTAAAAATGACTTCCTGTTTGCTTGAATATGTCTGGCTCCTCTCAACATGGAGAAGCAGGGGCTCTACTCCGAGCTCCGTGACTGACTGATGACATGGGGGAAGCTTTTTGGCCATCAGACATTGCTCTTTCCTTCTGTTTTAACTGACCTGATAAAAACTGTAACTACAAAAGCATCTGGCAACATCAACTATGTTTCGATTGGTTCCGGGAGATGTTAATTGCTGATAAAAAAAAATGAGAAAGTAAATAGTTTATAATTTGAAAGGCCTATTTGGCGCACCATGTAACTTTCGTCTCGACACGTTATAACTGGGACCCTCCAAAATCTTGGCATTTCGTTCCGCAGACATCTAGCCAAACCTTAACCCTTGCGTTAACCCCAACCTTTTTCAAATGAACCATTCCTAACCCAAACATAACCTGACTGTGACTCAAACACAAATTTAAATACAAAAATTAGCAACAAAATGTGAATATCTCCCTCTGCCCTTGACGAAATACCAAGAGTTTAACCGAGCCCCTGCTTAAAAAGTGATCTAATATATGCAAGATGGATTGGATTTTTTTTTTGACAAATCCAATCCGTCCTTGAGATAGGAAAGTTACACGGTGAAACTTTTAACATCATAAACAGATAGAGGTAGTGATGGGGAAATTCCTGGAGCTAAAAAATAAATCAAAATAATGCTGTGTATCTGACTTTGATATGAGTACGGTTTGATTATAGCTTGTAATTCTCTGTGCCGTCGTTTCAAAATGTTTTTTGTTGTGACAAAATATAATTGCATCCAGTGTTACATTTTTCACCCAGATCTTGTGTTGAGGATGGGGCGAATGTGACTGACCACTGCCATAGTGAGAATCTAAGACCGATCTCAATATAGATATAAAACAATATGGGAATTCCCTCTCGTTCCACGACACAATCAAAGACCCCGCAGGCTCCGCCCGGACCGCAGATCAATCCGGCGAACAAATATGATACAATCCAATTAGAATTTAAAAGATTTGATTGTTTTGATTACGATTTTTGAAAGCTTGATTTGACCCTTTAATTTTGCCAACACGGGTCCAAACAACACGCCAACATTTCCCACAGTTGTCCCCGGTCAACGTGCAATTTCAAAACGTGTCAAAAAAACTTGGGTGTGCAGTGAGAAAAAGCCTAAAAACTGGATTTGTCACGGAGCAGTGGCCAGAGGAGAAAGAGGGGACCAATCGTATCTGGTGTGTAAAAGAATGTAAATAATTTAGACACAAATGTAATCGTTCTAGAAAATAACTTGTTTGTGTTAAAAGTTGACTTGGCCTTTTACCTCCTTTAATTCCAGGTGACGACTTTTGTCTTTGATCAGGCAGCATCTTTTGCATTACCTTAAACACAAAATTAACTGCAACTGCAAAAAAAAATATTTGAAGGAAATAGGTTGACCATGACGCTACAGTCTGTGCCTGCGTGGGTCAGATTTGGGAGGGGAGGGGGGAGGGGGCAGGGTGACGGTGATGGGGGGGTCCAGGGGGTCATCCATGGGCAGGACCAGGCGCGTCCCTCTGATGGCCACCTCGTTCTCCGACAGGGCCAGTTCGTTGTCGATTCCGTCGTCAGGGAAACCGGCCCCCAACGGGTGCTTGCGGTTGATGGTCCGGGACCCAGAGGCGTCGGTGCTCACGGTCACGTCCGCGTACATGGAGCTCACGCTGGCGTCGTTCAAGATGAAGTCGTCGTCTTCGTGGAGCCGCCCTTCATTCTGGTGGCAGCGAAAGAATAGTTTATGTTAGGGTTAAGTCCTTCGAGGAGACTAATGTTGTGATTTAGGGCTATACAAAAATACATTGAATTGAATTGAATTGAATTGGCTTATATCATGGTCAAAACACTAACACACTCTTAACACATTAGAAAACCTCTATATTATGTCCTCTTCACTCTCAAAAACATTGAGGAACGGACCTACCTTTTTAGGTAGAAGCAAGCAAATGCTCCTTAGCAACAGTTGTTAAGACCAAAAAGAAGAAACACACACACACAGAGAGAAAAGTAGGCCTAATTTAACTCATTTTGGTTTAAATGTTACTAAACTATTCTCTGAGGATTCCAATTCAAAATACTCTTGATTAATACTGTAAAAAAAAAAAAACTGATGTAAAATTACAGGTTTGAATACCACTCCACCTCAGACGTCACCATAGTAACACACAGAATTCAGCACAGTTCATAAAGGTTTTAAAGGTTTATTATAACATATTATTCAGCAGGATGTTGAATTAAGTTGCTAAACCTGCTTACGTTTTGTTTTGGCAAAATCAAGAGTTAAATGTTGAACTACTTCATGTTGGAAAAGTAGTCAACTAGGAAAAGTTAACTTCTCCTGGAAAAGTTAAATCCTGAAGTTCGAATATCAAACCTAAAACCTAAAATATCAACCTAGAAGTCTAAAAGTAAGGCTTGGATCAAACTAGGGCAACAAACTCAAGATCTAAAAACATTGTTCCCTGCAAGAATGCAGTAGTAGTAATAGTACACACCTCGTAGGCCTGTGGACTGGTGAGGCAGCGGGCGAGGGGCCCACAGCAGGAGGGCAGCGTGGCCGTGAGAGGAGGTCCACTGTGGGTGAGCAGCGGCTTCAGGTAACTTCAGCTCTGTTAAGGATCGCTGCGTTTCACATATGTTTATAAAGCATGTCAAATGAGACACAACATCAGCGGAACAAAAAAGTACAGGTACATAAACTAAACCTGAATAGAGGACAGTTACAGTACATATATCAGAGCGTTGGGTCATATACAGACTAAAAACCCATTCCCAATGTAAATGTTCCAAATTTGATGACAAAATCTGGGCGGTAGTGCCAATAAAGGTGACATTTTACCCCCACTAATCAAACAATTGGTTGTATCTAACTAATTGCACGATGGAGGTTGAAATGGGAAACAAAGTGAGGGTGTTCAAAGTCTGACAGATATTCTCTCGTTCTTCAGCAATACCGAGTTGAGAAAACAAGTGGGCCAAAACCACAGCTTCCTGTCTTTGACTCCACTCTGCTCATACAGCTCTCAGCAGTCCGGCTCATTTCTAGCGCTCTGTAGATTAGAGTTTAGATCAGGGCCAAAAAAATCTACCCATAGATCGACCTAGTCCGACAGAGTGAGACCCAAACCCTGGAGTGAGGTCCAGGCCAGGAATCATAACTTTAATAATAAATTGAATAAAAAAACAGTGTTATATCTATATCTCCAACAACAAAAAATATTTCAGGCAAAAAAGTTAAAAATTTATGTAAATATTTTCTAAACTGAATGCAGATAATGCATCATATGTTATTTTTTATATAAAATCTGTTGTTGTAAGTAGTGTGAGATTTCTGTTGTACTGCATTTCTTGCTTTTCCTTCACTGTTTAAGATCATATACTAGATGGAATATTAAAATCTCAATATATTTTGTCCACTTCTTTGTTAGTGAATTTATTTTTCTCATGTGCGGTTTTGAAGAACGTTCCTAAATGTGACTTGTCCACCCCCGTATGACTCTAACCTTTTCCAAAATGCACGTGTACAAGACATGTCTCAACTCTTGTCCACCACAGTGATTAAAAAAACTCTCTAAAAATTGTTTTTTCAAGCTGTACCTTTATGATTTTCCCTAACTTGACCAGGCCTGAGACATTTCTTCTACTTACAGTCTATGGTGGCGGGTCGCTAAAGGGTGCCACACGGGTTAAAGCGTGTTCATTGCTCCCCCTTGTGGTTAATGGAGGAAACGCCGGTGACACTGAAAGGATACTTGTGGTCGAAGTTATACCAGATCCTGAAGGGCCAGGCGCTCTCGTGTTTGGTGTTTCTCCTCTGGGACCCATCCAACATTGTGGCGCTCTGCAACAAAGAGAGCCATTGTTTTGGTTCATAATAGACTAAATATGTTCAATCGATCAGCAGGAAATAAAACTTAAAAGCAAATTAAAAGCAGAAATGAAATAAATAGATAAAAGATAATATTCGTTTAGAGATGAAAATAAATAATGTGCTATTGATGCTTTCAGAAAGGGGTTGTATGGGATATTCACTCTTATTGGTCGAATAAAGTCGATACAAATAGAATCACACTTCCTGCTTGTGACACATGTAGCTTCTAAGCCCTGATTACTGATGCAATCCACCTATTGTTTAGCAAGAAACGGAACACACTCTGTATTATACCTATGACTACAGTACTTATTTATATATCTTTTTTTATATATATTTATTTATATATACAGTGTTATGGTGGTATTTTTGTATTTGTCTCTAACATACAAAAGTTCTCTGATTGGATAATCCACTGGAAAACTGCCATGTCCATTGCCTTTTTAAATAACTTAACTCCACTTTAAAAACTTTAGTTGAGAAAAGGCCAGATATGATTTGTACATGTTGACTGAATTTCTAGGAACACACATGAAGGATGTAGACTAGATAGTGTAGATAGTAATTTAAAATATAAAATGCAGTAATACTTTATCTACTGTGTATTTAGCCGACATGAATTTACTCACGGTGTGTTCTTGATCCGAGTCCACACCAACTCTGAAAGGTCAAGAAATAAAACAGTCAGAAACCGATCATCTTTTTAAGAGCATTTCCCTTTTGATCGTTACCATTTTTATCCATCTTTATTGATATTATTCATTACAAAATATCTCATGTTCACTTTCTAGAATTGAAAATTATTACAAACAACAATCACATAATTGGCACAACTTTCCAAAGAGTTTAAAAGAGGATATCATGAAGTTAAAAGACTTTCTTTTTTTTAAGTTTGCAACCATTTTAGCTACATATGGAAAGGCCCCACAGAATACACAGTTATAACTTTAGGACAAACATCAATTTGAACCATATAAGATAAGAAGAGAGAACCTTTATTCTTCCTACAGTGTGTAAATGTCAGTGTTGCAAGGCACATTACAGAACAGTAGGAAGAGAAGGAGCACTCAAAACAAGATACATAAGATAAACAGCTGCAAATGTGTATTTGAAATTTTGAATTTTATCAAGCCATAAAAACAGGCCTTTAGGTTTATGCAGCAGATAGATTCAATATTGGTCTGAACTAAAATGTGAACTGGTGAAAACTCACGGTATGCTCATGAAGGAGAGCATGGGCGTGGTCCCTCCTCCGCAGACCCACACCGTGAAGAAGACGATGAGCAGCGTGGTGGAGAACATCATCTGCCGCGCGTACGTGGCCGTGTCGCGGATGGAGAGCGCGAAAGTCATGGCGCCACGCAGACCTGAGAACACACAGCACACACTGAGCAAGGAGAAGAAAAACATGCATTGATTTTAGACAGCGCTTTTTGGACACTCAAAGACGCCTCACATTCTTTCACTCCTTACACAGTAAAAACTATTACTCTAGTCACAGCTGCCCTGGGGCACACTGACAGAAGCGAGGCAACCAGTATGTGCCATCAGCCCCTCCGATCACCAGCAGCCATTCCAACACACACACCAGACTTATTCTAGGCAATGTGAGTGAGTGTCTTGCCTAAGGACACATCGACAGTTTGGCACTTAATCGCAGCTGCTCCACTGTGGAACCTGGTGGACACAGGTCCTCTGGGTCCTGTGTCGTTCCCTGTGGCTGCAGCCGGCTCTCTGCTCCTGGTGCAGATGGCTCCTTGGATGGCGCTTCTTCAGCCGGTTACATCTGCTCCCAGCCCCATTTCTTTTTATTGTTTTACCTATTTTACCTGATATGACTATATACTTGTATGTGTGTGTCTGTGTGTGTGTGTGTGTGTGTATACGCATGTGGTTGTATATATAATTATAAATGTGGTTTTGGGGGGGTCTGTGGGGAGGAGGGTTTAGGGCTGGGCATGTTGGATTGTTTTTAACTAAACTGTAAAGCACTTTGTGTTACACTTTATAAATAAAGCGCTTTATAAATAAAATTTGATTGATTGATTGATTGATGGTGTTAGTCTCCCATCACAGTACTAACCAGGCCCTTCCCTACTGAGCTTCAGAAGTCTGACAGGATCTTTTTATGCAAGTATGACCACATAAAAAGTATTGCCCAACCTATTATGGTTATATGGATTTTTTAATTAATGAGGAAACATCTATTTGTGGGATATCAGGAGATCCACAAAAGGTTTTTAGGGCTGAGAAGCAAGAGAGAATAAAAAAAGGAAATTTAAAAATGTAAACAGCTGTTCCCACTTCTGCTTCACTTTCCTGGACTCAGCAGTATGAAATCATGTGACAAAAGAGACTCACTGAACATGATGAAAGAGGAGATCAGCGCTGACACAGGAAAACACATGGAAGCTTGAACATTTAGATACAGTATATGAGATATACTTGTCAAAATCAGGAAAATTGTGGATGTTTGTTTTTGCGATTGCATTGGCCAGAGGAAAATATGCTCTATATGATATTTATGTATTCTCTTTATTTATTGTTATTTGATATGGAACAGATTGAAATCATTTAGGCTGAGAGCCGATTGGCCGAGAAAGAGTGCTCCTCTCATTTTCATTATCTAAAGATGTGACCGGGACCAAAAAATACATGTTTGTGAAAACTAGTGACCAAAGTGGCTCTCAAACCAAACAGTCTTGAAAGCGAGCGACTAGATAGATAGATAGATACTTTATTGATCCCCTTTAGGAGAAATTCAGGTGTCCAGTAGCAGCAAAAATAAAAATAAAATTGATCATTCTAAAAACATAATAATAGTAATAATCAGCAACAGCCCTTCAGGTCACAGCAGCAGAGGTGGAGTGGCCTCTGGGTGGAGCAGGACGGGTCACAGCCGCAGGTCAATCAATCAATCAATCAAATTTTATTTATAAAGCGCTTTTCATACATAAGATGCAACACAAAGTGCTTTACAGTTTGGTTAAAAACAATCCCGCCGACCCAAGACCCCTCCCCCAGACCACCCAACAGACCCACCCCAAACCACAGACAAACACACACACACTCTCATGAACACTCATACACACTCACACACACCAGTAAAACAATAAAACCATGATGAGAGACTTGGCAGGGTTCAGATGCAACCAGCTGAAAAAGCGTCATCCAAGGAGTCGTCTGCACCAGGAGCAGAGAGCCGCCCGTAGCCACAGGGGACGACACAGGACCCAAAGGGGACACAAAACCGAGGCCCCAGGCCCCCCCCCCCAGGCCCCCGACAGGCCCAAGAGTCCGACCCCCGCAGCCACACTGACCACTGCTCCCAGTGCAGAGGGCTCCTACAGAGGAAACACTGGGTACACTAAAAACAATACAATAAGTAAAACACTAAATGTGAGACTAAAAGGAACACACAATACATGAATAATAGCAATAGCAATATAATAAATAATAAAAGATAAATAGAATGGAATAATAAAAACTAATCAAAAGCTAATCTAAAAAGGTCAAAGACTAGTTATGCCGTTTTTCCACAGTATCAGTACTAGGGTTTAATATTTTTCCCGAAAATGAGACGTATCACATCCCGGGAAAAGACGACGCCTTTCCCGGGAAATCCCGGGAAATAGCTGTTGTTTGTAGTTGTTGTTTTTAGCCCAAGTAATGTATGATATCACTCAAATATATAATCCAACAAAAGCTGCCATCTCCACTAGTGTTTCACCAAGTGACTTGCTAGCTTTTCTAAAGTAGCCATAGCGTTTTCAGACGTTTTGTTGATGGGCTTTCTTCAGGAATTTCACTATTATGAGATTCTAAATGTCTGCGCAATCCACTTGTCGAAAAGTGACGTGCGGTGTGGTTTGGAGGCACTAACTTCAGCCCAATCAGATGAACATATATCATATAAATCAACAGAACCTACAGAGCGGCTTATTCACAATTAGTTTGGCTACAGCAGAATGTTTTCCATGGCCCGCATTGTTTGCTCAAACAAAACACAAAAGTTTGTAAAAGGCACATTTCCAATTGTGTTATGGGTCTTACCTTAGTTATTAATGAACAGCACAGACCACTTCAGTTCAGACCAGTTTCATGTTTAAGTCCATATAATAGTTTGAGCGCAGATATGTAATCCCCCATTTGGAAATAAGCCCAAAGAGTTTTAAAGCGTAAAACAAAACGGGTGCCACCTCCATAAACTCCTCCGTGTGTTCGCTGCAGCCGGCTCTCGGGCGCATCCAATTTCTAATATCAACCTTCTTACCCTTCTCCTCTCTTCCTTATCATTCCTATCGTCATTGTAAGCAGAACATTACCCTAAATGCATTTTATATGATTTTAAAATGTGTTATATGTATGTTAGCCAAACCTGTTGCTGCCCTTAGCAGATGGAAAAAAAGAAAGGAGCTTTCTGATAGAATTGGACGTAACCAAATTCTGGGCTCACATGTGCCCCGTACCCTGAGCCTGGCCTCATTACAAGTCGTGGTTTAGCGCGATTAAGACCCATATTTGTTGTCAAAAACACAATTTAGGAGCCATCCTCTCAGCTGTAGACATGTTGATTGTAAATGAAATATGTTTGAACTTTGAACAACAATAAACGTGCTTTATAATAGGAGCGCACTGTATTTTTTTTTTTACTTTCATTTCCCGTTTCCCGTCATAACATTTCCCGGGAATCGGGAAATAGTTTTCATCAGATTTCCCGGGAATCCCGTATCCCGGGATTAAACCCTAATCAGTACGGTACAGTACAGTACGCTTTAGCACGGTTATTTTGCGTTTCCACTATTGGATGGTATGGGAGATTTGCGTACTTTTCCGTACTGCCTCAGCCTTGGTTCCATCCCCATAGTACCCGTGCCATGACGTCACGTCGGCCCACTGCCTTATACTGATTGGTCAACGAGTGTCGTCACTGGAAACGGCATCTGACCCTTTGGGAAAGACAACTCAACCTCCATCTTTAAAACCGGCTGCTCTGCTTCAGCTACATTACGTCCTCCTCACTCCAGAGAAATGGAATTGCACAGAAAGCACCAAAAGTCCTGGTCCTGGTCGGTGGAAGAGGTCCACACGTTCCTCTATTCAGGTCAAAGAAAGAATTCAAAGGCAGCTCGAGGCTCAACACAGTTTTCAGGGAGATCACCAGCTCTGGATTTGTGACTAGTCTGTGGTAATCCTGGAAATAACTGGTTAGCTACGAATCCCGTTAAAGCTCTCACTGAAATGTATTTACTGTGTAAATGCTTGATTGTCTGATTGACAGCACACACTGAGCAAGGAGAAGAAAAACATAACAAATGATAAAAATGCATTGATTTTAGACAGCGCTTTTTGGACACTCAAAGACGCCTCACATGTCACTATTCTTTCACTCCTTACACAGTGGTGATAAACTATTACTCTAGTCACAGCTGCCCTGGGGCACACTGACAGAAGCAAGGCAACCAGTATGTGCCATCAGCCCCTCCGATCACCAGCAGCCATTCCAACACACACACACACACACACACACACACACACCAGACTTATTCTAGGCAATGTGAGTGAAGTGTCTTGCCTAAGGACACATCGACAGTTTGGCACTTAATCGCAGCTGCTCCACTGTGGAACCTGGTGTTAGAGGTCTCCCATCACAGTACTAACCAGGCCCTACCCTTCTGAGCTTCAGAAGTCTGACAGGATCTTTTTATGCAAGTATGACCACATAAAAAGTATTGCCCAACCTATTATGGTTATATGGATTTTTAAATTAATGAGGAAAAATCTATTTGTGGGATATCAGGAGATCCACAAAAGGTTTTTAGGGCTGAGAAGCAAGAGAGAATAAAAAAAGGAAATATAAAAATGTAAACAGCTGTTCCCACTTCTGCTTCACTTTCCTGGACTCAGCAGTATGAAATCATGTGACAAAAGAGACTCACTAAACATGATGAAAGAGGAGATCAGCGCTGACACAGGAAAACACATGGAAGCTTGAACATTTAGATACAGTATATGAGATATACTTGTCAAAATCAGGAAAATTGTGGATGTTTGTTTTTGCGATTGCATTGGCCAGAGGAAAATATGCTCTATATGATATTTATGTATTCTCTTTATTTATTGTTTATTTGATATGGAACAGATTGAAATCATTTAGGCTGAGAGCCGATTGGCCGAGAAAGAGTGCTCCTCTCATTTTCATTATCTAAAGATGTGACAGGGACCAAAAAATACATGTTTGTGAAAACTAGTGACCAAAGTGGCTCTCAAACCAAACAGTCTTGAGAGTCTAAGGGGGATACTTTATTGATCCTTAGGAGAAATTCAGGTGTCCAGTAGCAGCAAAAATAAAAATAAAATTGATCATTCTAAAAACATAATAATAGTAATAATCAGCAACAGCCCTTCAGGTCACAGCAGCAGAGGTGGAGTGGCCTCTGGGTGGAGCAGGACGGGTCACAGCCGCAGGTCACAGACTAGTTAGATGGATAAAAAAAACTGTTCCGGGGTCGAGGCTCCAGACCAAACCCTGTTCATAAGATTGTACATCTGTTCTACTTTTTATAATTGTTTTTCTTGGTTTCTTACTGTGCTTTAAAGGAATAGGCCACCGTTTTTACATACTGACATATGTTCTTACCTTACCTTAGACTAGTTGATATGTACCTGTCTGGTCTTTGTCCGTGCGCTCTGTCATGCAAACATAGCACAAATGCAGCCTCTTCCACATTCTGTATAGTACCAAATCAGCTCCCGTTAGAAGCTACCAAACTCTTCCACGTGTTTCCTATTTAAATACATTTACGTGACGTGTTACTCTACAAAGTATAGCAACACAGAAATGTAACATGTCGATTTTCTCAGCGGATAAAAAGGGGTACTATATTGTGAGGCGTAATAATACGAGGAGCGTTACGTCCGCGCACTAACTCCTATAGACTTCTCTCCCGCTCACTTCCGTCAATAGAAGCAGCGTGAGCGGGAGAGAAGTCTATGGGAGTTAGTGCGCGGACGTAACGCTCCTCGTATTATTACGCCTCACAATATAGTACCCCTTTTTATCCGCTGAAAAAAATTTACTGCTGTAAAAAAATTTACACTGCTTAAATTTTTAAGCAGTGTAAAATAAAGTTGATTACATTGTTAATTTTTTTCCATGTAAGGCACCCCAAATTCAACTGTCAATTACTCCTTCACTCAGATCAGGAGGAGATCAGATTTTTTTTTCTCATTTTGGATATAAAGAGAACAAAAAATACACACTTGCCTAATGTCTGTCTTAGAAATGATGGCATAGAATTCCTTCTCATTTGCAAATAGTACAGTTTCATCTGACCATTTCTTTGGAAAGATACTTTTGTCCAAAACTGAGATACTAGAAAGGATATGAAGCCGTCTCTGCCTCTTCTGAAATTGATAATAAGGACTAAGGAATGAGGATCTTTGGGTGTAGCGGTGTATGCTGGCCTTTACATACTGTTGCTTTAAGAACACGTTTTGCCAGAGGATTCTTTTCCATACCTGCAAACATCATCACGTGTTGGAAGTTGGATCCAATTTTGTTCCGTCGTCCGAGGTTCAACAGGAAGGACAGAGGATAGATGTTGGCTGCTCTGCCTATAAACACAGCCAGCTGCAGCAGACTCGGTCAAGGACTAAACATAGATTTATACAGAACAGGCCGCAGAAACCAATGGAAAAATCAAATCTGGACGGATTCAATGGAAATGTCGTTCCGGGCTTCAATCTAATGGCACCCGATGCTTTTGGAACGAGATTCTTTCAAGTTCTTTTTCAAGTTGTGTCTAAAAGCTGCAACTATTAATTGAATAAATATACTAGCTTCTTATAATGCCAAAAGTAAATATTTTATATTTCTTTATTAGGCTAAAGTCAGAATTTTTATACTCATTATGCTAAAGAAAGAGATTTTATTTAGTTATTGTCATGTATCTTGTGTTGTGTGCTTCTCATTCCTACGGTTCTGTCACTGGTGATGCAACACTGAAATTTCCTCACTTAAATTTCCATCACCATTATTTTCTAATCCTAATAGTTAATTGGACTAAATGTATTAGTAATTAATTGATTTTGTTGTAGTTTTTTTAGGGCTGTCAAACGATTAATTTTTTTAATCGAGTTAATTACAGCTTAAAAATGTATTAATCATAATTAATCACATTTCAAACTATTGGTAAAATGATGCCATATTTTTCTGTAAATGGTTGTTTGAATGGAAAGATAAATGACAGCTTAGTGAACATATGTACTGTATTTGTTTGTTATAACAATAAATCCATATAAAATGGAATTAACATTTTTAACATTCTGTCTTTCTGTTTAGACTCAGACCAAAACCATTGTTTGTTACAGATGAGGGACATTTCAAAATAGTCTGAAAATAGTCTGAAATGCAGAATGTCATTAAATCTGTTTGATTTGCTCACACCATTGCTTTTTTTAGCACAACTAACATGAACTGATGGTCGAAAATTAGGTACCTCAGCTTTAATTTAGCGAGTGCGCTTCGGGAGAAGACACGGAGGAGACTGAGGCTCCGCAGTCCAGCTTCAGCGCTGTACATATTGTGTGCATCGGTTACGCAAAGACACGTACGCACACTAGAGAATAATTCTGTAATAGTTCTGTGCGTGGTCTTGGATATGGTCCCATTACGCGGCGCCGTTCGCCGTGATCACAGCCGCTGGAAGTGGGAACGGTCCAGAGCGCTGTCGGGCCCGCAGCTTATCATGCAGAGTTCATACAGGAAACTACAAGTGCCCCGCGGTCACGCGTGTATTCTTTCAAAACTTGAATTCCCAGAGGGCCTACCTGCTCTGTCCCCATCTTACACACGTGCATGTGTCCACGGCATTCTGAGTGTTATCATGGGACGCATAGGCATGCGTCAAATGCGTTAATTTTTTTAACGCGATTAATGAAAAACATTTATTAACGTGCGTTAACGCGATAATTTTGACAGCCCTAATTTTTTTTAAATCTTGAAATCTACAAATAAACTGTTATCTATTGTTGTAAAGGAAGTCATTTAGTGTAACTTTCTCACAACTAAAACTACTTCTCTATTTGGAAACCTTCAGTCCTTTTATACTTGGTAAATAGTAATAGAAACAATAGCTGACGCATGACTACCAAAGATTTGAAGATTGATCATTCCAAAACTCAGAAACACAGGGTGATTAAAAAAATGAATTAAAAAAATCACAGGTATAACCTTTCTGGTCATACAATGTGTGGTGTCCAGTCACACACGAGCCGATTTCACTCACAAACATTCCCAGGTCGGACGAGAAATCTCACAAAACCTATTGAGAACAAACGCGGCTCCGGAGTCAACGAACAAGGAGGTTGACGCGATGAATGTTTGTAATTTGTTTTGAACGCCAAAGCCTCAAATGGAGAGGAGACATTGCAAGCGTGGACTGTACTGTTACCTTATGACACGGAGCCAAGATGTGTGATGTTCTTTTCGGAGTTTCTACTATACCAGGGATTCCCTTCTGTGATTCTGGTATTTCCCAAGCTGCTATGTAAGTATGTAAAGTTTGTGTGGAAGTCTGGGCATCTCTGTTTAGGCTGCTACCCCTACAACCCAGTAATGAATAAAGCCGAAGAAAATGAATGGATGGATGGCAATGGGACCTCTTTTTCTGGGTACATCTTACAGTCATATATACATACAAGCTCTCATCCCTGGGAGATCACACATGGTGAGAACTTGGGTCAAGACAATGCAACAGCGAACGAGAAAAGTCCTACAAATCACACACTGCAGGAATGTTTTAGGAGAGCAAATTATGATGATTGGTAGTCCTTACTTTTTGTCGAAAAAGCTGGCCTTATTCTACGGTCGTGTGAAACAGCCTCATCATGCAAACAGTAGCAGCCCTAACAGTGTGATAATGGATTAGGAAATGTTTTTGCCGACTCTGTGTTGAAGGATACAAAAGCTCCGATGATGAAGAGTGGGTTGAAAACGTGTGACTGGAAGGAGAACAGCGTCAGGCCCATGTAGGAGAAGATGAAGTTCTCCGCCAAGAAGTTCAACAGCTCAAACAACTGGAGACACAAGAGACGCACACAGTGAAAACTTAAAACTAACTCCCAAATCCCTTGAGTGATTTTAATGTTTTTTAGCTACCTGTGTGATTTTAATGTTTTTAAAGAGATGTTTGTGTTTGTTCTATGTGATTATTTGTGGCTTATGTGGACTGTGAAGCGCTTTGTGTTGCCCGGGGTAGCGCTCTACAAATAATTGATTGATTGATTTTAAAGTGCGTTCTAACCCTAACCCTAACCCTAACCCTAACCCTAACCCTAACCCAACTGGAGCATCTACACCGTGCTTTGATTCAAATACATGTTGTTTTGGCCAGAGTTTGACGGTTCTAAAAATGCCACAGTGAAAAAAATGACATTAAATATTTCCAAGATCATGGACTTGACAGTGCATAATATGTCTTCTTTAACACTGTCCTAAAGTCTACTTTTCGGTTGCTTTTTCACTTTCAAAACCTTCAGCTGTCAGGCAGAAAGGGTCATGTCTGTTTTAACATTTGCAACCAGAAAAAAAACACATTTTCTTTCTCTTTTGTTCTCCCATAGACATTAGTAAGATTTAACTATTATCACTATTTATATACATTACGTCTAAATCACGAAAAGTATTTGTATGTACATATAGAGGTTTTTTGTGTGTGCGATCTATAGATATATAGATCTATACATCTCCCCTTCCTCCACTACCTTCCCTTCCCCTACATAAAAAACAAAGAAATACTAAAACATGTTTGCTCAAATCAAATTTTTCAAATAATTTTTTATCTGCAAAGGAAGTCATGTAGTGTAACGCTCCATCTTTCTAACCACGAGCTCTCAGCCCCGGAAAATGTGGTTTGGTGCAAAACGACGTCCTGTGAGGTTTTGTGCTTATTTTTCGCAACTCAAAACAGAGAAATGCCCCGAAACCGATTCATCAACACTGACCTGAAACCAGAGCGAAACCTATTTTTACCTCTTGCACCTGACTTTCAGAAATAACATCTGTAAAAGCGAGCATCCTCTTTATAGACTGTTCAACATACAAAGTACAAACTATAGCAGTAGCATCGGATCGGTCAACGTAAATGTTTATATTAAAGTGGTTTCTGAATACAAGATTACAAAACACTGCTCTGAACTGAAATATCTCAACATAACTATGCATTACAGTCACACACGCTTTAAGACAAATGTAGGATCAATTCAAATCCAGTTCTGTATGGTGTGTGGGTGCTTTTGCTATTGTCTGAGTGGATCTGCAGAGGCAAACTACTATTCTATACTAATTGCTGAGATTGTTTGTATCCTTTGTATTTTCTTATATTTTTGTTGTTGCTCTTTTCCCCCCAGAACAAAAAAATTTGATAAAGGAGCTCTGCCAATACTGTGGGAATGGCTTGTCACATACATGTCTGCCTGTATGCATGTGTGTGTGCAGGTGCGTGTGTGTAGGTGCGTGTGCATATGTGCGAGTGTGTGGATGCATGTGCGTACCTGTTTGGTTCGGTCCTGAGAGTCTGGGGAGAGGTTGTTGTATGTGTAATGAGCCTGGGTGATGCCACAGAACAGCACCGCAACCACACCTGAAAATTAGACAGTAAAGTATCTGTTAGTATTAGATAGCAATATGGCCTACGTGCAGGACTCTACAAGGACTCTGATTATTTTGACTATGATGTGCAGTCTCTGTGTGACACGTACGTCTTTCGATCTGTGACGTGACAATGACTATATAAACTGTGTACTGACTCCATTTTGTCTGAGAGGAAGAAACAATGGAAACCACTGGAACTTGAGAGAAACTACACAAACTGTAAATTAAAAGAAAATATTTTCTTCATATAAAAGTGCAGATAATTTTTGGCTCAAATATTCTTTAAACATGAACATAGATTAATGAAAGACCGGAGCGGAGACTCGGTGCAAGATCTACTTCTCAATCCCACAGCCTCAAACCAGACCATAAACAAACTCAACAGTGATGTGGATGGAGCATGTAGCAAACATACAATGCAAGTTTGAATAATATAATAATTGTTTAATCCAGATAACACCGAAAGAGGGGCAGGAGCACAGATACATCTGACTGTTGTCACCCGAGCTGCATGTGCCCAACTGTGTGTGATGTCGCATGCAGGTTAATCTTCCCATCACTACTGAATAGTATTTGCACTGCACCTGTAAAGCCACAGGCCTCAGCCAATAGGAACGTGCTCCAGGACATGAGGAAGAAGAGGGCGGTCTCCAAAAGTGGGAAGTCCCTCAACTTTGTGAACTTGGTGACGTAAAAACAAGGTCAAGGTGAAGAACCGGCGAAACAGACACTTTATATGAGATGAGAAACTATATCAACTGTAAAATATATTTAGATTCATTTTGCTTTTCATCTGGTATCAATATACTTTTTCTATTGAAGTCATTATTTCACTATTTTATTTCTGAGTTCATTACTAATTTGACTTAGGAAATACTGTAAGCTTGTTTATTTATTTTTGTACTTAACTTTAGAGAAATATGCTAAGAAGGCATGAAAAGTATAGTTCTTTCTAAACAAATAGAGTAAGAATTGTAGACAGAAATAGAATGAATTGTGATAGTGTGTGTTGTACTTTGAAGGGCAAAATAAATACATTACATAACCTTTTAAGATGCTGTAGTATACAATATTATCTAAAATCATCCTCCATTCATCAAATTCAAATCACCAAATCAAAATGAAGGATATAAATGCAGTGACGACTCCGGTGGCCACTCCGAGAGCCAAAGATCCACTGAAAACTCCCAGGAAAACCCCAAAGGACTTGAGCATGGCCATGGCCTCGAAACTGTGGCTGTTGTCTCCGGCCGGCTGGTACGCAACAATTGACCTACGATCAGAAAATCCAAATGAGAGACAAGGAAAGAGGAACACACGCTTAAACAGAGGGGAGAGAGGTTGGAAATCAACGCGTGCAAGGATTCAAAACTAAAATGTCATCATCAAAGAGGATGGTCAGCCAGACTAAAAACAAAGGAACTCTAGCTAGCAGGATTTCATGATAAACACACATGCTGTCAACATTTTCATTGTTTTGAAGCTGGTTTGATACCTGACAAAGCAGAGAGGCTATCTAACAAATTGGAAAATAATCATATTAACAGTGAGTATTACGGCATAGCATTTTCTTGTTACAAAATATAACTTCTGGTTTGTTTTTATCCCCTTTTATTTGCAATTAAGAGAGAGAGAGAGAATTACTTCTTATTATTGTCATTGTGGTTTGGAAAAGGCACCAAACATTGTTTACTGTGGACATACAGGCACCAAACATTGTTTTGGCACCAAACATTGTTTACTGTGGACATACAGCACATGAAGCTGCTGTATGTCCACATCATTCACTTATTAAATAAAGTTTGAGGATTAATAATAGGAGCTGAAATCAGGGTGCACACAAGCAATGAAGGTTACTGGCAAAAAACCTATAATAAAGATTAGAAAATGCATTCAGGTTTTAATGCTGGAGTCAAAATGCAGCCAGTCAGACCCTCCACCCACCGGGTCGTCCCATTCCCAGTGTTGTTCAGTCCCAGGGGTTCATGCTCTACCGGGGGCCGCCCCGGGCCCCTGGTCCCCGAGCGTCTGCTCTGCTTGTCAAAGCGCAGCAGAACTCTACATACATACGTACAGCAGACGACCACACGCAGGAGGCGGCAGTGGGAATGACATGGACGATGTTAGTGACCACATATGAGGACAACACACACAGGGTTTCTGTGGCGTTCACTGGATTCACTGGACTGTTCTATCATACAAAAATGGACTGTATACATATATACATATATTTTACTACTTGGGTAAGAGTTGCTATTGGAAACAATTATTACTTTAGAGAAGATTGGTGTCTAAATTACCATCCATATATACGTTTGAGAATATCATGTAAATTGTCTTTACATTACACATTATCATTATTATTGTGATATTCTTGTAATATTATTGTAATAATTCAAATGCAAAGCCATAGTACAAATGTAGCTGAATTTTCATAGAAATTGTGGGTGTTTTTTTGGCCTCCTCTTCTTTCTTCACATGGTCATGTTGCCCCTCTGAATACTCTCTTCCACATCTAAAATGTGTTTAAGTGTTTAAATGTGTTTTTTTCATTTTTTCAGGGTTTTCACCACAGTTACCTCAAGTCACATACTTTACATACTGTTGCCTGATGCTTTCACTTGTTGAGTAACATGTCAGAGCACATGTTGAATCAAAATATCCTCTTGTCACCATTATTAGAGCACCACCCAAAAACCTTGGAATATCGACTCACTGTGTGTGTCCTGACATGTTTATGAATATTTACCCCTCTGTGAGTTAGTACAACACTTCAAATGAATAATAACATCCTCCTTCAGTTCAGTGAATCCAATGACCAACAGAAACCCATTAAAGTTGATTTTTACACCACAGATGGATGAATGTGAAAACATAGATGTTGTTGAGGTTATTGTGTTCTTACGAGGACAGGATGATGGCCACGGCGTCGTTAAGGACACTCTCCCCAAACAGCAGCGCGTACAGGTCCACATCCACCTTCAGCTCGTTGAAAATGGCCAGAACCGTCACTGCACCAGAAGATTAGTATAACATTTGCTATTGAGCTCAACAGGGGCCGTATTGAGCGTAATGTGTACATTATGATGGAAGAAATGCAGTACTAAATATGTAGAAATGGCAAAAAAATATAGGACATTTTAAATATAAATAATGTATTTTACTGAATTTTCTTTTGATAGGATGCATTATTATGTATATGTGCTTATTTTTGCTCTTCAACCTAATTTTGTGTATCTAATATTTTTCATTTAATATTGTAGAACGTGAAATAATTGACCAATTTCCAAATATATGGAATATCTTGAAATTCAATATCAGGGTGTGGTTTTTTTTATTCTATCTATTTTAGTTTTTTTTATGTTTTTTGTGTGTTTATTGTATTTTTCTTGAGCTATATTGTTCCGTTTGTGTTATTAATAAAAAATATTAACATGCTCCCTATAGTGCTGTGAAACAACACTGAAAGTAAATATAAAACAGTAATTTAAAAGCCAGAAAGACTGGTTACCTTATGACGTTTAAGTGTGATCATTAATCATAGTGTACAAATAAATAAAAAAAGGAGCTTTCTGGCAGAAGGGACGGGGTGATGTGTTTGTGCCGTTTAAAGGAGTCAACGATTGTATCACGAAGCACGCTGCAAATTTCCCACAGCCGTCACGGAAAGATTATTAATCAATTTGTTTTGAGCAAGAGAGATATGTAGCTATATTAAGTGTGTCACGAACCTGGGTCTGTTGCAGAAACGATAGCGCCGAAAAAGAGACAATCTGTGAAGAAGAAATCTCCTCCCAGCTGCCCCACTGCTTTCATGAAGGACACAAACCCGTACATGATCAGCCTAAAGAAGCATAAAGAAAAATGTTTAAAGCAAAAGGGAGCATCAGGGGAAAATAGTGTCTTGGTGTGAAAGCAAATTGAGGACAAAATTTTTTCATGGTATGTCCCCTTTAACTAGAGTATATGTATATGATAACCTTTCTTACCCAATCACAAAACAGGAGATAACTGTTCCAACGAAGGCATAAGTCAAGATTGACCCAATGTTTCTGAAAAAATGTCTCTGCAAAGAATTAAAAAACAGTCTTTAATCAAATGACTTTTTGCTTGCTACTGTTTTTAAATATAGCTGATGCTAGGTGAGTATAAATATGTATTAAAATCCTGTTGACACTTACTCTTTTCAAGCTGTAACCTGCATGGAAGATGATTGGTGGAAGTAAAATGTTGAAAAATACTTCGGGGTCAAATGTTACCTGTAGAAAAGAAAAAAAAACAATGCATGTAACTGTTCTTAGAGACAAAGTGGGGTACTTCCTCTTTTGTCCAGGAATGATGCATCAGAAAACACACATAAAATGCTTTGGAAACAACCACCATTTGAGATCGTCACTTTCATTTGTTTAAATCTTTTTGCCACAAACAAAACAAAATCAAACAAACACATACTTCCTCCTAAGTTTATTTGTTAATAGAGGGCTGGGTATCTTTCAGACATTCTCGATATGATAATTATCTAGATACAGGGGACTTTCAATTTTGATATTTTTTAAGCGATACAGCCCAATTTAAAAAAGAAAAGAAAACATAGAACACTATTGATGCATTCATATTTAATTAATTGTTACTAAAGTAAAACAAAATAATATTTTTTATAGGCAAAACAAACATTATTTTAAAGGTTTTTAGGATGCCAATATTTATCTGAAAATATATTCTTTACATAGCACACCCCAAATTAAAAGTGTGTATCAGACCCAAAGTTAATTCTATAAACATTGACATACCTTCCGCAGCATCTCGTCGTCCTGGACTTGGTGGCCCTTGGCGCGGCTCACCTCTCCCCTCAGAGTGTACTCGTAGAAGCGCCCGCTCACGTTCACCAACAGAGTGGCAGGACTGGCATTGACGGCGCAGCTCAAAACCACGTCACTCGTACTTTGTGGAACGTGGACTCCGAATCTTAGAATTACACCAACCAACAGACCTGTGAGAGCGACAACAGAGATGTTATTCAGCTACAACATTTTTTTTTATATAAAGAGAATGTCATAATATTTAAGCCCAGTCCTTTGTCATAATAATTGGGGAGAACAAAAACCAACAAAAATGGCTATTTCTGTGTTTTGATTGCAATATTCATATGATAATATGGAAATCTATCAAAATTGGGTTTATGAGTTGGTTGTGTATAAGAGATCCTTTATTCGTCCCACATTGGGGAAATTTCCATATTGCAGCGCACATGCAGGACAGTAGTAAGAGCACACAGGGAGCAAACAAAATACACAATGTAAGTAGCTGCTTATTTTCTTAGCTAGCTGTAAATGCTTTAATATCAATCTTTCAAAATACCCCTATATATAGTGCAAACTTGTATACATATAGGGAAGGATAAGTAGATGATGTGTCATTCAGGGGACATTTTGATTTTGCAGTATTGCACATGATTACAGAATTTACTTATTTACAGATGAATGACATGTACATGCTCAGCAGGTGTCAAAAGAACTTTAAAACATCTACAATGTGTATGAATACAAATGTGTACAAATGTGTGTCAAAACCAGATACTTGTTTGAGCAAGAAACAACACAAGAGCACACATAAGAGCACCATTGACATTTCCTGAGCAGTTTTCAGAGTCTACATCAGAACCAGTTTAAAACCTTGTGGTTCCATAAATAGCACACAAACAGGAGCTCCTGTGCATATATTTTTAGATAATCACATAATCAGTACATTATATTAAAACGCTTTGACTGATTGACTTGACTTGATTGACACTAATAACATAATTTTAACTGCGTGTGCATATTTATCACGTTATATTTTCATTTGGGTGTTTTGCAGTCACTGTTAGTCATTCATCATTCTGTACTGAACCTTCTGCCATAAATATCTTAAATCTAACTGATAAAATATAATGTAAAGAATCCTGCTGATCTTTCTTGCATGCATGACTAGCGTTAGTTGGTCGTACCTTTTAATTTATACCCAATGGACATTCTTTATAAGCTAGGTCTACACATGGTTTCATCTTGCCAGGGGACCACTGAGGTGACAGCTTACTGACAGGTTAAGTTTTTGAGGCTAACAAACAGTTAGCATCACTGAGGCCAAATGCCCGGAAGATACCACTCTTACCGTAGATCATTGCGAGTCCAGTCTCGTGTAGAAACCTAAATCTCCGGTGCTTGAATAGCCATATAGTTAAAATAGTAAGTGTTAGCAGCATTATAAATATGAGCAGGTTGGCACTGTCCTGTCGGTGGCTTTCCTCAGCCTGCCTCTCTGTTTCGACATTATTCATAGCATTGCCCTGACTCCTCACAAGCAAAAATGTCGTCACAAAGGGTAATAAAACAGACAGTTTGGACCGTATGACGTCCAAAAAGGGCTTCATTTTGGATGCTTGTTTGATTCTCTAATGATGAGTTACATTTGTCGTTTACTCTCTGAGAAACAAGATCCGCTGTGACAAAACGAGAGCGAGCGAAATGACAGCTACTTCCGGTATAACCACCAAAACATTGTGACTTCCGTTTTTCAAAATAAGAACCCACGCATTTCCAAAATAATGTTCACTGCTCCCTGGCTCATTTAAAATATAATTTCGTAATAGGAGAATAGACAAAATGTAATTTTAATTTTCGTAATAGGAGAATAGAAAAAATGTCATTTTAATTTTCTTCTTTCTGAACAATAGGCAATAAGTAAAAATTGTGTTCTTTCAGGTTATTTCACATGAGGCTTTATGATAGTTATTCTGGCTGACATTTAAAGGTGCTGTATGTAGATAACCACTTAGATAAACAATCTAAGTGGTAGAATTAGGTAAATTAAATACAATTACACTAGAAATCGCTCCCAAGCATCAGAATGTCAATCTAAATGACTCGTTCTGCTCTCTGTTTGGTTAAAACTGCACTAACTGACTTTGGGATTTTGAAGCCGCGGACTCTCTGGCCTCTCTCTTTCTGCTCCCCTCCCCGCACCTACGAAGCTATCGCCACCCACACACACTCACTGTTGCACGGAGCTAGCGTCTTCCAATATGGATATTATGGATATATGGATTAGATAGAACCGGGAAGCGCGGAGGAACGGGGCTCAAAGTGCAGAATTTGACATCTCTCGAGCAAAAACAATAGGCCCTTTCCCCGTTCGGGGCTCGGGCCTAAATATAATCATTACATACAGTCCCTTTGAAAGATTGTTTTAAACTTTCCTCTGATCCACAAATTAGTAGATGATGGCCCAAGTATGTCACAGAGAGGTACACACAGGAGCTGTTATATAGCGCTAAATGGTATTCTGAACACCAGTCTGACAGTTGACAGGTTACCTTCCAGTTACCAGACCACAGTGCATTGTGCGCTCTAGGAAGAGGCCGCAGCCTCCCATCGCTGCAGGACGTGCAGGACCTGGATGCATGGATGGAGGGGGGGTCGGACCACTACTGACCCCTCTCACCCTGCACATGGACTGTTCCAATCTTTCCCCTCAGGCAGAACCTCCTGGCCTAAGAACAGTTTCTTCCCTTCTGCAGTTTGACTCATGAACACATAAATAACCATCACTGACCTCTGCCCTTTATGACCGTCATTTTATGCTACTTTTAAAGGTCCATTGTGTGCACCTTGTGCACTTGTGTACAGTATACATAGTTCCCACAGACCAATGAATGTCACATGACCTCCTCGGAGACGCCATCTTTGATGGCACGCTGCTGTGTTTGTGCATTCCATTAAACAGAAGAATGAGAATAAATGTAGATATTCAAACGCAAATTGGAAAAAAAGGGCAACTTTTGAGCAAATAATTGTATATTAATACAATGGCACCACAGTTTAACGTGCTACGGACATGTTTTACATATTTGATCAAATTATGCAGCAAAAATTAACAAGCAATGCAAACATTTCTCAAAAACTTTAGATTTAATACCAGTTGGAGCTCCATTTAATTATTTGAATTATATTAACAATTAATTTAATTAATGCTAATGCCACAAGGACACTCTGGATTGCTGTTATTGTTTATTTCAACGTTTTTGACCGTATGTTTTGGTGAATGGTGGGCAACTGATTTTTCCAGGCGTAAAGAGCAGTTTATTTTATGACACAGATCTTTTTACAGAAGCAATGCTGTTTGTGAACATTGTTTTAGCCCACCATAGAACTATTATTATCTATTTAATACATTTACGTTGCCCTCGAGAGCCTCGGACGCGACACCGATCCTCCTCATAATAAAGTAATCTAACGCTAAATAATGAAACTCTCAAGTTACCAGCTATCAGCATACACAAGTTAGTACTGAGTAAATTACGTCTGTCAACACATTATAAGATACGATACGCACCTGACACAAAGTGCTCCGAGCATATTGCGTGTTTTGAGGGAGTTTCTTGCCTGTTTATCTTCGCAAGCCATAACCTCCGTCGTTGTTCTGACAAAAGCTTAGTCTTCTCACATTCATGAAGTCTAATGATGGGTATACTGTAAAATCCAAGTTTAACGGAACCTCCGGCACGATTTGAACATCCATTGACCCAGCAGGAGATGACCATTTTCAACTTTATCACGACATTAACACGTTTCAGCTTCTTTTTCTATTGTTTTGCCCACAGAATGCCAACACAAATGGCGCCGGGTCGGCAAATCCCCGTATGTAGTGACGTCATGTAGGAACTATGTATTGACCCCTTGCATGTGACGTCCCGGCCACGCCCACTCTCCATGACAGACGGCAGAAGTCTTAATGGTGCTTTCAGACCGGATCATGCGTTGCGTCGGGTTTCAATGCAAAGTCTATGGTGGCGCGCATTCGACCGTCACAACGCACCCCTCCATCAGTACGTATCATGTTTGGTTGTAGACAGAAAAGCCACAGAAAAGTGGACTATTGCTAATGCTACCAGCAAAATGTACATATTGTCAGGGATGAAGCAGACAGAGACGGATCGTGGTGCGCCAAACTCTGGAAGTTTATTTAAGTTTCTCTCAAGTTCCAGTGGTTTACTTTGTTTCTTTCTCTCAGACAGAATAAAGGCAGTACACAGTTTATATAGTCATTGTCACGTCACACATCGAAAGACATACGTGTCACACAGAGACAGTCACATCATAGTTAAAATAATCAGAGTCCTTGTACAGTTCTGCACATAGGCCATATTGCTATCTAATACTAACACCCTCCCCTTTGATCACATAATCACATGTGATCACTCAATTTGATCAATCCATAAAGTGGAAAAAAATAAATAAATAAAAACTTTAAAAATTATTAAAAAACAAAGAAAATGCATGCATTAAACTCATAATCATCAAATCAATATCAGTGGATTTTATCCTCTATCCTGGGGAAAAAAACAAAACAAAAATAAAGTAAATAAATAAACAAAAACAAATCAAAAATAAAAACAAACAAACACTATTGGACACACAAGAACTCAGCAGATTCAGTCAAAACACAGACAAAAACGAGCTGAGTCTCAATTAGAAGCTAATTTCACTTTTATTACTCTATACTTTTATTCTAATGCTGATTGTTTACACTTCACTTATTTCACTGTATTATTTTCACTTTTCAATCTCAGACTGTGTACTTTACTTTCATGATTCACTATAGTTTAAAACTATTCTAATCTATTCACAAATATGGTTGCATATTTACTTCTATTGAGCCATTTTATTAAACATATATTTCATTATAATAAATCTCTGTGGTTTTATACTCTCATTATCAGTGGCTTTGTGTCAGTGGGATTTTGCTCTATGTCTATTCTACATTCTCAGGAATAAAACTGAACACAGAAAGACAAATGGTTAATATGCTAGAAATATTCTCTATTTTTGAAAGCATCTATGGTTGATGCATTTATCTATTCCTATTTTTACTCTAAAGCTCGGTTGCAGCTTGAGCCAAGGCATATTTCTAGTTTGTGACATCTGTCACTTTCAATATCTACTAAACCGCTACAATACTCATACTTTATCATTTTAAAACATTTTAACAGTTGCTCAGTCTCCCAGACTAAAAAGTCAAAGTTTTTGTCTGTCAGATGTCTGAATACTTGAATATTTGGTCACAGTTGTGGTTCTGGTTGTAGCAATAGCATCGGCAATATACGATTTTTCATTGGCTTGTTCTGCAAATGTCTGTGTCCAATAGATCATCAGATGTCCAGAAGCTAGGGACAAACAAAAACAAAAGAAAGAATCATGAGTATCTCTCTCATTTAGCACTCATCAATGGCATGATTTCAATAATATAAACATCACTCCCCAGTTTTTTCTCTCTCAGATCCTCAGGGTCCTCTGAGGGTGAGTCTCAGTCGTCATCAGGTCAGGTCATATTTCGAGTCTTTTCACTTGAAGCACATCAGGTCATTTGCGATGCACTTCTGGTCAATGGTGCAGTGTCACAGTTCCTGTACACAGCTTGTTATGCAGTTAGGCACTGTGTATGGTTAGTCACTTTGATTCTAATCCTAATCAATGTAATTACTTCACACAGTACAAAATCAAAACATAAAAAGTGTCAGGACAGACGTCAATTATGTCCATGACAATATAGAATTCAAATGAACATTTCTGGTCTCAAAAAATACAGATTCAAATAAAGATTCAAGTGATAGACAATTAAAGGGACTCTAACCCTGAAAACGTTTTCTCAAAGGGACTCTAACCCTGAAGCTTCTTCTCAAAGGGACTCTAACCCCGAGACTTTTCTCAAAGGGACTCTAACCCCGAGACTTTTCTCAAAGGGACTCTAACCCCGAGACTTTTCTCAAAGGGACTCTAACCCCGAGACTTCTTCTCAAAGGGACTCTAACCCCGAGACTTCTTCTCAAAGGGACTCTAACCCCGAGACTTTTCTCAAAGGGACTCTAACCCCGAGACTTCTTCTCAAAGGGACTCTAACCCCGAGACTTCTTCTCAAAGGGACTCTAACCCCAAGACTTCTTCTCAAAGGGACTCTAACCCCGAGACTTCTTCTATTACAATTTAGAGAGTTTGACAGACCCCAAAAAAAGACCAAAATTTAGCTAATATCCAATTATACAGACTTTACATATAAAAAGGTGTCTGCTTACCTTATTCTTGTCAAACAGGTACCAAGGACTGTCCGAGAGGTCTGCCAACCTCTTTTCCGCGTCGGAATATTCAATTTAAAAAACGAAAGTGACAGAAGCGACAAGAAGCATCCAGAAACAGCTCTTCCAGCCTGCTGGAATCTCCGCTCCCAGACACAGCATGCCGGTCTCTCACGCCGAGGAAAAGAAACAAAGCAAACTCCCTCAAAACAATCCAGAGAATGGCGCACACTGAGCCGCGCATTCTCCACCAAATCTGTCGAGGATTTAGCAGACGGATCGTGGTGCGCCAAACTCTGGAAGTTTATTTAAGTTTCTCTCAAGTTCCAGTGGTTTACTTTGTTTCTTTCTCTCAGACAGAATAAAGGCAGTACACAGTTTATATAGTCATTGTCACGTCACACATCGAAAGACATACGTGTCACACAGAGACAGTCACATCATAGTCAAAATAATCAGAGTCCTTGTACAGTTCTGCACGTAGGCCATATTGCTATCTAATACTAACAATATAAATCTGCGTGTGAGGGGATGCATTGTTAACGATAATGATTAAGATCATGTAGGGTGAATTTGGGCACAAATAGACATTTTATTTAATCGATAAAATTGACTGGGGGGAGAAGGTACGGGTCAACATCCAGTTAGGCAATCCTTAACTTCTCCAAATACCACTCTTTGTGAGCCCTGACCTGATGTCCTACTTCCACCTATAACGTAATCGAACAAGTGCTTGAAGCAGCCACTTCTCGATTTAGGAGAGGAAGCTCCGTTTTTAAGAGTTGTAGTCCGTTTTGCTCTCGCAGCAATGCTAGTTTCCAATACTTCCGCCGTAAGCTAATTCACAATCACGTGACTGGATGACGTTGATGCATCTGGTCAATAGTACACACACATTGGAGTTAAATTATGAGAAAGAAGAGTATTTTATTTACTATAAAATAATAATCCTTCTGCTCAGTAAAAATATGTTATAAAATGTTATAGTATAATAGTGATTTTAAAAAAACGTTGTCAAATTCACACCAATAGTGTGTTTAAGCACAGCCATATGAAGAATTGCATTTATTGATGAAAAGAATGTTGCCTCTGAAAAGTATCACTATAAGAGAGAAAATGAAAGCCACAAAAACCAACTCAAGCGCAATAAAAATAGGTCTGTTTCGTCATTTGTATCAAACAATGAGTTGTGATTACATTTCAGAATAGTTAAATTATGTTTTGTAAATGTATTAGCATATAAAATCATATAAGGCCTTAAGATTATTAATAATCACGGTGCATAAAAAAGTGAACACACAATCCGTCAGTTGTTTGCACAACTAAACAAAACTGTTTTCAATCTGGATTTGAACATGAAAGTAGAAGTCTTTCTCACATTTTCAGGACGGCTGTTTCAGATATTTTCTGAATCAATTTGAATAAAAACCTACCTCCCCAGCAATTCATGTGAGGATCAGACCATTTATTTTCCGTCCTCGAAGTCACATATATCGTCATGAGGTTGTGATCTTTGGATCCAGCCAACTTCCTCTAACAGGAAACTAGATAGATGCGGCTCGACAGGCAGCACGCACACTTCTCACAGAGCAGTGGTATTTTGTGTTTTATGAGATTCTTTCTTCAAAATGAGGACCAGGCTTTTACTCATTCTGTGTTTGGTTGGAAGTGGCTTAGCGAACAAACCTCCTGGTAAGAACATTATGCATCTTTTGGAATTTAGATTTAGATTTGTAAAATGATTGTGGTTTGATTAGAAAAAAGAAGTCAACAAACTCAAGAAATCTATTCGGGAAAATGTTCTAACAAGTTTATGTTATTTTATCCTTATAAAATCCTTATTATTTTAACAAAGAGCATGTTTTGTTTTAGATTTGTGGCTCTGTAGTTTTACTTCCCCTGACATTTAGTGAGTGAATTTCCCTTCTCGTCTGCATTTGTACGTGCGGTCTCTGTCTCAATATGATGAGCCTTTGGTTAGTACTCTGCTATTAAGTTAAAAGAAGAAATGTATTATTGATAGTTTATTATATTAGTTTATTTTATTATTGACAAAGAGAAAGTTATGGTTATTGATTGTATTTATGTATTAATCTTTATCTTATTTTTCAATTAATTACTCTGTTCTGTTTAGATGTCTCAAACCTTTTTTTAATTCATTTATAATTTATTATTATTATTTTTTATCTTCTCTGCCCATCACAAGGGAAAAGGGGATGTGAGGAACAAAAAGTAAAGTGTGATGCATGCCAACCAGTGCAAAAATATAAATACAATGTCGACAAAGAGAAAGTTAATAGAATAATAACAATAGTAATGATGATGATAATAACTATGAATGGTAATATTTTATTATTATTCTTCTTATGACAATTTTTATTATCATTATTATTGTTATTTTATCAAGGATAGTAATAACAAAAGAATCACTATAAATGTGAATGTGAATCTGATAAATCATGGAGAAAACCCAAACAAACCGAGTACAAAGAGCATAATGATGCAACATTTCTGTCCCGTCAAAATGATTACAGCAAAAAACGATTTTAAAAGCCATGACTACATCTCTCCAAAATCCATCAATAATTTTTATTTATAGAGCCCTTTACAACACTCAAAGCGACCAAAGTGCTTCACAATAAAATTACATCAAATCTATTAGAACATTTATGCATCAAAACAATAAAACAGTTAAAAAGCATTAGTAAGTAAGTAAGTAAGTAAGTTTTTATTTATATACCGCCTTTTCACTGCAGATCTGAGTCTCAAAGCGGTTTACAATTGTTAATTTTTGGGCATTTGTCTCTCACTCCACACAGAGATGGGAGCGGGGTCGCCAGTACAGGAGGCGCATGCTAGAACTATTGGACATATTTTTAGTGGTAGGGGAAACCGGAGTACCCGGAGGAAACCTACGCAGACACGGGGAGAACATGCAAACTCCACTCAGAAAGGCCCTGGTCTGACTGGGATTCGAACCCAGGACCTTCTTGCTGAGAGGCGAGAGTGCTATCCACTCAGCCACCGTGCCGCCCTTAAAAGTGCCACCGTGCTCATGAGTGTTAAATGTGTTAAAAAAGCCAGTCTGAATAAATACATTTTGAGCCTCTTTTGAAAAAGGCCAAAATCAGTGAGGACACGCATATCATAAAATAAAAATCTACATTTAACTTGATTCAGTGAAAACAATGAGAATATGATTTTCCAACAGATGTCAATTGTACGGTGATTAATCTGAAATATGTCCAATGTTTGTGGAACCGGGAAGGACTCAACTACACTTTCTCCAGCAGGTAAGTCAAAAAAGTCGACAAACAATCGTCAGAATCAGTGTGATGTATTAAACTGTGATTCCTTTCATTACAGATTTCATGATGAGTCCTTTCGTGAATGTGACTCTTATGTCCTCGAGAATGGACTGACCGTCGGGTGCAAACAGCCTGGAGACGGGTTAATGACAAAAAGATTCAAAACATTTTACACGCAGCTCGCTCAAGAAAACCAGCAATATCCGGTTCAAGAACATAAACTCAAAGATAAAGGTAATGAGGGCTCATAATGTAGAATACTTTTTACCCTATTCATCAATCTATATTAAAATGTTCTCATCAAAACGAAACGTTTCTCCGGTATTATATAAAAATCAGAATTGTTTGTATTTCCATTGTATAAACAACAGAAAACTAGTCATCTGAAGGTTTTAAATTTAATAATCAGAATCAGAATCATTTGTATTGCCACGTAAGTAACAGGAAGTCACAGACCTGGAAATTGCTTTGGCTCAGGGCAACAGTCAGAAAGAGATAATAAAAAATAAAGAGTAAAAAACACTTCTAAGGAATACATTTAGATTTAAAATAGAGTTACAGTTACTATTTACAATATACAAGTGCACATGGTGCACCCAATGTAAGGTGACAGCAGTACAGTGAAGTAAAGTGACGTATGATGGGCAGTAAAGTGACTTTATAAAGGGCAGGGGGACAGGTTAAGAAGTGTTCAAGAGTCCAACAGCAGAGGGGAAGAAACTGTTCTTGTGGCGGGAGGTTCTAGTCCTGATGGACCGCAGCCTCCTGCCTGAGGGGAGTGGTTGGAATAGTCCATGTGCAGGGTGAGAGGGGTCGGCTGTGATACGACCAGCCCGGCCTCGAGCTCGGGCGACGTACAGGTCCTGCAGCGAAGGGAAGGCTGCGGCCGATCACGTCCTCTGCAGAGCGCACAATGCGCTGTAGTCTCTGTTTGTCCCTGACTGTGGCTCCAGCGAACCACACGGTGATGGAGGAGGTGAGGATGGACTCGATGATGGCCGTGTAGAACTGCACCAACATCTGTGCAGGCAGCTTGGCTTTCCTGACCTGCCGCATGAAGTACATCCTCTGCTGGGCCTTCTTGATGAGGGAGCTGATGGTCGGCTCCCACTTGAGGTCCTGGGTGATGGTGGTGCCCGGGAAACGGAAGGACTCCACAGAGGTGATGGGGGAGTCCATCACGGAGGGTGGGGGCGGGGGGACAGTGCTCTTCTTAAAGTCCACAATCATCTCCACTGTCTTCTGGGCGTTCAGCTCCAGGTTGTTACCACTGCACCAGGACACCAGCCGGTCCACCTCCCTCCTGTAGGCGGACTCATCGTTGTTGGAGATGAGTCCAATGAGGGTGGTGTCGTCCGCGAACTTGATCAGCTTCAAGGAGTCATGGCTGGAGGTGCAGTGGTTGGTGTACAGGGAGAAGAGAAGGGGAGAAAGAACACAGCCCTGTGGGGCTCCTGTATTTATAATCCGAGAGTCCGAGACATTCTTCCCCAGACGCACTCGCTGCTTCCTGTCTGTCATGAAGTCAGTGAACAACCTGCAGGTGGAATCGGGCACGTTGAGCTGAGAGAGCTTGTCCTGGAGCAGGGATGGCAGGATCGTGTTGAAGGCAGAGCTGAAGTCCACGCACACGACCCTGGCGTCGGTCCCCGGGGAGTCCAGGTGCTGTAGGATGTGGTGGAGGGCCAGGTTAATGGCGTCGTCTACAGATCTGTTGGCTCTGTAGGCGAACGGCAGGGGGTCCAGGAGGGGGGAGGTGAAGGACTTGAGATGGGAGAGGACCAGGCGTTCAAATGACTTCATGACGACAGACGTAAGTGCTACAGGTCTGTAGTCATTGAGTCCTGTGATCCTGGGCTTCTTCGGGACGGGGACAATGATGGAGGATTTGAAGCAGGCCGGGACATGCCAGGACTGCAGAGAGGTGTTGAAAATGTCAGTGAACACAGGCGTTAGCTCACTGGCGCAGTGTCTCAGAGTGGCCGGAGACACATGGTCCAGGCCAGGAGCTTTGCGGGGGTGCAGCCTCAAGAAGAGTTGTTTGATATCTTTAGAGGCTATTGTCAGGCTGGGGGAAGAGCTCATGGGTGGGTCGTTAGAGTAGTGGGGGGTGGGGGAGATGTCAGGGGCAGCATCAAAGCGACTGAAAAAAAAGTTCAGTTCGTCAGCTAGCTTGTGGTCGTCAGCACAGGGGGGGGCTTTGGGCTTGTAGTTGGTGATCTCCCGTAGGCCCCTCCAGACAGAAGCAGTATCGTTGTTACCAAACTGCTCCTGTAGTCGTTTTCTGTGCCGGGACTTGGCTGCTTTCAGTTCGTCCTTGAACTGATATTTAGCTGCTTTGTAGCCGCTGCGGTCCCCCTCCCTGAAAGCAGACTCCTTTGCTTTTCTGAGCTGCCGGAGTTTAGCAGTGAACCAGGGTTTGTCGTTGTTATAGATGACCCTGGTCCTTGTTGGAATGATGCTATCCTCGCAGAAGTGAATGTATGACGTCACAGTGTCCGTGTAGTCATCCAAACTGTCTGTGGCAGCTCTGTAGATTCCATGCATGCGCGCAGCTCTTCCACAGCTTCATCAGACCACACTTTGGAGCTCCTCACTACAGGTTTCGAGCGCTTTAGTCTCTGTCTGTAAGCAGGGATCAGATGTATCATGGAGTGATCTGAGAAGCCGAGGGCTGCTTTGGGAACAGCGCGAAAAGCACCGCGCACAGTGGTGTAGCAGTGATCCAGAGTGTTCTCCTCTCTGGTCGGGCATTTGATGAGCTGTCTGTATTTGGGTAATTCCTGGCTCAAGTTTCCCTTATTAAAATCCCCCAGGATAATAATCAGAGAGTCCGGGTATAAACGCTCCATACACAGTACTTGCTCTGCAAGTGCACGCTGAGCCTTGCGCGCATCCGCGCGTAATAAATTCTTCATGACTTAACAGAACATAACAGGACGATGGTGATGAGACTGTGGATCGATAGTAATGATATTATACAATTTAATTCATAATTGTTGTTGAAATAGTGTTACTGACCAGGCAGCTCATAGATAAAGTCAATGAATGTGTATGTATGGTGTGGGAGTTCATAAGTCTTACAACGATTATTTCCCACTCCATTTCAGGTCTCTTTAGGGGTGAAGAGGAAAATGTATTTTTGTATTTATCTCAAACAAATGAATCCTGTATAAACCTTAAGGGAAAACAAAAAAAATTTCATGAAATTTGGGGAAATGCCAATTCCAACAATGTCTTGTAAAGTGTAAAAGAAAGATAGACTAAATGTACATGACACATTTGGCACAGATAGAATCACTCAGATTGTACAAAAGACAGAAGTGTTTAACATGTTAAAGGTTGAAAATATAGTCTGTGCAGGATATAATTGTGTACAATAAAAAGTGTCAATTGTCTTAATCACAACAAGAAAATATTGAATTAACCTCTAGGCTCATCAATTTACAGGGACATTTTTCTACTTTTTTCTTATTTATGGTTGTTTTAATTCATTTCTGTTGTACCTGTATATAATAGCAGTCCTCTTTCCCTTATAACGTCTCAGAGCTCCACCTTGTGTCTGTTTCACGTCAAAGACCTAAAGAGGTTTCTGGTGGTTTAGTGGTTTCTATATTAGTATAGAGCCGAAGTGAAGATGGCAACACACTTCTCCGTGTGATCCTTTTGTTTGACTATTGGCTTTTGTGTTGGTCCCAGTCAAATTGGATCCACCCTCCAACGTCACCGTCCAGTTAAGGTCTGACGGCAACTTGTGGTTCGAGTGGGAAAAGATCAATGATTGTTTCGAGAGCGAAGTCCGCTTCAGAGTCAACAACAACAACTGGCAGGTAATAACAGAGGTTGTGGTCTTATACTTGTTCTTTAATATTTTGTTTTATTTTCATTAGTATAGCTATTGTTCATGTGTGCTCCTCATTCCTACTGTTCTATAACTTGTGATGCAACACTGAAATTTCCCCACTGTGGGACGAATAAAGGATCTCCTAATGTCTTACTCTTAATATGTAGCAGCCCAAAATATCTCCAAATATCTGCCTTATATCTGAACCGTTGGATCGCAAAAAACAGATTTTGATTTTGCTTAAGAAAGGGGTGAAACTGGATTTTACTCTTGCACTGTCCATGACGTTTACAGACTGAGTTGTTGGTTGGCAGGAGTCCTCGGTGAGTACTGGGCATCAGGAGCACTGCATTAACCTCCCGTCAAAATCATCCCGTTACGAGCTGCAAGTGCGAAGCCGCGTGAGCAACAGCTGCGGTTGCTCTAAGGAGTGGAGCGAGTGGAGCCAGCCGGCCGTCTGGGGAACAACGCACAACAAGACAGGTTTGAGAAAAGATACACTATTGAATCTATTTCATTTGTTATAGAATTGATAGAAATACTGGTAATTAGTTGAATTGAAGTCGGGCAGATTGGATTTTTTAAGTCATTAAAAATCCATGACCCAAGTGGCTGCAATCAATAGATGCAGTCCACCTGCTGGGGTTTTATATCACTTATGACTACTTATATTTCCTACCTACTTTCCTGTTAACAAAAGTGTGGTGCTACTTTTTCCTTAAAATCAATTTTCTTCTGCTTTATCTGTGGAATGGCTACTTTTGGTGTATATGTATTGTGCAGAATGTTGGCATTGCCCAGATTGGAAGATTTTTCAATTTTATCACCTTAACCCTTGTATTATGTTAAGGGTCAATTTGACCCATTTCAGTTTTTGTGTTGATCAAAGTACAGGTTATCCTTTATTTTTCTTGCTGAAATTTGGTGACTTTTCCTCATCTAGGGTCATGAACTGGTGTGTAAAATCTGGACACTTTGATGTGTAGTGGAATGTCTGTGCAGAGTTTGTATACAAAGATGATGTTGCGGGTCATTTTGACCCAGACGCTTTAATGTGGGTAAATAGTTGTTCAGATCCAAAAAAACATGTCTCTTTGACATTGTATTTTGATTGCCTCTGAGACCCAGAGCCAGGTGTGTGAAGAGAGGGAACTTTCTCACACTTGTCCTTGTCACTGTTCTCATGTCATCTCTTTAGCGTACATCGGACTGGCAACTGAATATATCCGTGGCCTATGAGTTGATGCCCCGCACACATCTACAATGTGGCAAAAACGGGCAACTCCTAGTAGCAGACCAGTCTCGGGAATAACAGCGCGACAGCAACTGGCCTCAACTACAGTGTGTTTTTTTACATAAACTGTAGAGAGCGCGCAATACACGCAATACACACATGTTGTTGGAGCACACACATCGGTGATATCTCCGGATCTGAGGACAACTAGTTGCCGAAAAGTAGAACACGGGCAACTGACTGAAACTGGAGACCGACTGTTTATCTCCAGTTGTAAGAGCGCTCACATCGACCGATTTCGGCAACTGATCATCTCCATCATCTACTCTCAGTTGCCAAAAGCCGCCTTGCAACTAGTTATCCCCAGTTACTCTGTCGATGTGCGCATAGGCTTTAGACAAACTCACCAAAAATGAGCTCCAGAAGGATGATATCTGAGGAGGCTTTTTCACAGATTTTTAACTGGGACAATGATGTAGAGGAAGAGATTTCAGAAACAGAGTATTTTTCAGAGACAGAGGACAATGTTATTGCTGATCCAGATTGTCAATTTTCCTACGATAAGGAGGATTCAGAGGACGAATCTTTGGTCAAGGAAAGAGGAAGGGAGGGAGAAAGGAAGGAAGGAAGAGAAAAGAAGGGAATAGAGGATGAACAGACAGAAGGAAAGCAGGATGAGAAAAAGGAAGGAGAAAGCATGGCAGGAGGAAAGACGGAGGGAAGAATTGTCATTTTGACCCGAGAGGAGGACAAGAAGATTAGACTAAATATTTCTTAAATATAGCGTTGGAATGAAAAATGTATTGTATTGTCACTTTTCTAAATATTTATATAACCTAAAATAAAGTTGTTATTGGTTTAACCTGTTTTCTTGACTGTTTTGAGTGCATTTACACAGTACGGGTCAAAATGACCCGCAACATAATCAATGTCATTTTTTTTCAACATAATACAAGGGTTAAGTAATAATGTAGATCATGTTGTATACTAACCCTTGATCTATGAGAAGTGTTATAACCACACACACTTTTTCAGATGAGTACCAGGAGATGGTGTTTGGTACTCACTCCATTTGTCGCGTGGTTCTCAATCGAGACTTTATACTTGCTTCTTTTTAATGCTTACGTTTAGATCAGCTCAGATAATCCACTCAATCCAAGTCAAATAATGACTCACAGGATTCTTTTTTAAAATGCAAAACAAAATAGAAACAATGTTCTGTTTGTTTTGTTCACAACATTTTAATTTTGGGCACAACCTTCATTTTTATGCATTATTAATGCAAGGGAAAATGTAGGTACCACAGCTTTAATTTAACGACACAGGGACGACATGGACACTCCCATAAGGCTCCATAGTCCAGCTCTGTTTCTTGCAGTAATGTATTTTAATTTGCGTTACACAAAGACACACACTTGCAACAAGCAAGTCTAGTTACAATACACTTTCACCCTATATTAGAAAATGTGAAATAACTTCTTTTAACGCTAGGACTGTTACTGTTATAACTAAAACTCCCAGTGCCATTTTGACTGCTTCTAATCAAATTAATAGAAATATCAGAACTTTATAAAAAAAAATACTTCAAAATGACTGCACCGGGAGCTCTGGAATTAACTGCTTGTCTTATTTACATTTACAGACAACATGCAGCGATAGAATAATATTAAAGTTCAACCATTTTTGTCATATCAGAAAGTAAAACAGTAACCACTTTCTGAAATAACAACAAAAATGTTAAACCTTTTCAATTCAATTCTATTCCATACATTTTTTCCTTGTATAGCCCTAAATCACAACAGTCGTTATCATGATCAGAGAATCAGAACAGTTCAAGCACAAGAAATGCAATGATAAAAAACATATAGAACCATTGGTGCTTAAGGGGCAGATGACCAATGTCCATAAATGTTGATAAATGTCCATAAATATTGTTGAATGTCGAGTTTCCTGGATCATCACCACTGTCCTTGTTATTGTTGTCCTCCTGAATCGGCAAGGAACGACAATAAAAAAAAGTGAAAGAGAGAAAAATAGATAAACTTCAGGGAGGTCCACACATTGGGAGAGGGATCCGCTCCCACAGCAGGACGGACGGGCTACAGACCCAGGAATCAGGACTCACAGTATTCTAACGCTTTGATTATGTCTGTACAGTGCACTTATAATTGTGTGTAAGCGTTCAATAACAGCTCTTAATACCTGTGTGGTCAGACCCAGTGCGGCGGCAGGACTCACAGACTGTGAGTGTGTGGCAGGTGCTCATGGGCTGCGTGGGAGTCCTCACCGTGTTCGTGGTGCTGTTTTTCTTGGCCTTTCAAGAGAGGTGGGTCTTCAGTACGAGATTCTTTACATTTGCCTCCAAGCACTAAACATGAGAAGACACAATTAACTTTTCACAAGAAACTGGGTCTTCATGCCGGACAACGCTTTCTTATTTTGGGGCGACAGTGGCTCATACTGGTTGCCTGGCTTCTGTCAGTGTGCCCCAGGGCATCTGTGGCTACATACATTAGTAGACCAAAGCATCTTTGAGTGTCCAAAAAAGCGCTATATAAAACCGATGCAGTATTATTATTATTTATCCTTCATTGTTTCTGATCAAAGAGATACATTCAGTTAATAAACAATTTTGGGGTCGTATTGACACTATCAGAATCAGACACAGAATTATGTATTTCCATTGTGAGTCACAGGAAGTCACAAACAAGGAAATTGCTGTTACTCTCGGTACAAACAAGATATAAAAGTTAAAATAGATATATAAAAAGAAAAAAAAAAAACTAAATAACATTTTTTTTAATTCCTACTATAAACTAAGTACACTTACAATTATTCAAATGGAAAGTAGTGTTGGATTTCAAGTTTATTTGTATTCTATTCTCCAGAATCAGAATCATCTTTGTTCCAGACGTTCCCAAGCCGTCTCTGGTGCCTCGTGACTTGGAGGTGAGTAAAAACCCTTTCTTAAACAGGATTTCTAAAACAGTAGACAACACTAAGTTTTATCAAAATCAAATTGAAATAGACAGTCTGCATTGAATTGAAGTAATTTGCAAACTCTTAAGCATGCTTCTGTAACCTGTATAAAGTGAACCACTGTGATTCTAGGATTTTACAGGAGGAAGGGAGGCTTAATAATTTTAGACCTCATAAGTTTAGCATGAAAAGTTAACAAAAGCCGGCATTTATTTCTGTAACACAAATGTACCTTGAAAAAAAAATGTCACGTGTATCAGTCCCTTTTTGATTAACCAAAAAAAGAATAAAGAGTTAGGGTCAGAGCTCTGACAAAAAAAATAGTTTTCATCTACCCGGGTAGTTTGATTTTACTGTTGTTGAATGTGCACAAAATCTTAGCTATTCAGCTGTTTTCGATGAAGGCCAAGGTGGATGAACGGAGATGGTAGGGCGTTGTCCTTCTCTGGATCCAGCGACAAGACGATGCCAACTCCGTGACACCAGCCAAGCACCAAACAGTCCTCAGGTCTTAACAAAACTAACCTGCATAAGCAGGATATTATCAATATCATTCTCTCATAGTCAATATTTATATAGATGAGTTTTATCTAATCTCCAACTACAACTAATCACGTACTGTAGCTTGTAGGATTTTACACAAATGTAACATTAAAATTGTACATTGTAATGTAAACCCCTTCTTATAATCATGTTTCTGTAAATATTTCTCATCTGTATATAGTTTCAAATTTTCTCCGATTGGTTTTTCAAGAAATTATCACAATATCATGTCAAAAGAAAATGCAGTGCCATGAACTAGCTTAGCATAAACTAGCTTAGCATAGCAACAGACTCACCAGAGATCAAGAACACACAAACTCGAAAAAATCCTTGTCTCCAGTACCTCTTGCTGTTATTATGAACTCTGTGAACCCAAAACAAGTTGTTAATCACACATTTCAAAAGTATTGAGATTGAAACACTTTTGTACATCGTTTTCTCCTACATATGATGTCCAAGATGGCGGAGCCTTCACAGTAAAAACGATAGCGCCCTCAAATGGACGGATGCGGAAACGCTCCGTTTAGCGAACATTTAAAGGAACAGTATCACAAAATAACATGTAATATTTGGTGGGTTACACTTCTAAATGCAGGTCCCCCTAAAACCAGTTAATATTTTAGTCTGGCAATGGCATCAAATTTAAATGTTGTCATTACCACTTTGGAAAGAATGAGATGAATTCAAGTATTGATTTAATGTATTTCCCTTTGTGTTCTTTATTATTTGTTTACTTATTTACTTGTTTGAAGAAATATCTGACTTGATATTATAAACCTCTGCCTTAAGTAATATACAATATCTGCCAATGAATGAGTAAGTATTTAGCACTCCACAGTAAACTGTACCAACCTGTTATATTTGGGTCAATGACAAAAAAAGTCCTGAAAGTTCCACGGCCGCGGAATGTTCACAGACCCACTCTTGAATTTGTTCCAGCTTGTTTGTCCAGTGAAGGAGGCACTATTTAAACACAGATTTGTTCACACCCGTACAATTAATAGTGCTCCAGACAGCCATTTTGGTCGTAACAAGTGGACGTCCAAAACGCCCAGTTTGTCTGCAGTTATGGAATAATATTTTTTTGCATGATGTAAAATCTATAAATAGAGATTGATTATAGTTATATCCCCAACCATTAGCCAATAAATAGTCTTCCCTGCTCCTGCTAATTCTTCCTTTCACAAAGCCTCCAACATGACACGTCCTAAATGTAACAATGATGTCCCCAAATACAGTTCTTTTGAAAAGCATCCATTTTTCTTGAAATGGTTTTGAGCCCATCTGAGATTATATTATGCATAATAATAAGCTACATAATACTAAACAATTATTAGGTACAAACATTTTTGGTTAGCACATTTATTGTATTGCCGCTTGAAGAAAGATTGACGCATTGTACAGTTTAATGTGGAGTGAGCCAAATACAGTACATTATACAGAGTTCTGAGCCATTTTGAGATGAACCTGGTGGTTATCTGCACATTTCAATGGAGGGATATATTTGCCAGATTTGAGCATTTTTTGACTTTTTGCAATTACACACAAATCTCCATAAGATGTTTTGGATTACGGTTTGGCCCATTCTGCCTTGTGTGTGTCTGTTTCAGGAGTGGTTGAACAGCTCCAAAGGCCTGAAGGAGGTTTTTAAGACCAACTACATGGAGCGCACCTGTTCTGTGAGGGAGTATTGTCCCGTATCTGACAGTGAAAGCTCAGACTCCTCCATCGTTTCTGTCAGCACGGATCAAACCGACTTCTACAACTCTGTCCAGCCCTCGAGCCCCAGTACCCCAGAGTTTGCCCCAAATGAGCAGGGCATCTCTGTTTAGTTTGAATTAAAGCTGGGGTATGTAACTGTATAGGCCTCTAAGTAATCACTGACTTTCTGTCAGTAATCAGTAACTTTCTGACTCACAGAAACACAACGCATAGCCATAGATCCATTTCCACTTGTTTATTGTTCAAAATCAAATGCGTGCCCTGCAGTCAAAAACCATGTCTGTCACCCTCATTATACCAATTACCCCGGTCCTCGCTCTATCCATCCATCCATTTTCTTCCCCTTAATCCATTTCTGGGTCAAGGGGGTGGCAGTCAGAGCTGCACTCAGTAACACAGAGGAGCAACCCCTCACTGATCTTCCGTCAGATGGTGAGTCCACAGGAGGACGGCAGCTCTAGTCTGATTTGATCTTTCAGCGGGGGCTTCAGGCAAAGTGGAGTTAAATGTCTTGCCCAAGGACACAACGTTGTTGTCCATGATTTTTTTTCATTTTGTGACAGGCCTAACTGTAGATCTCTAAATATATTTTTGGATGGTACGTGCGTAATGTATGTAATGTTAAAATAAATGTATCCATTGACTTATTTGCTTTTATGAAGAATATGTTTTGAAAAATCTTTTTTACAGCCGTGGTCAATATGGTACAATAATAATCGAGAAACTTAGTATGTTGTGTTATTGACTTGACGAGTCAATAACGAGTGATTCTTCAGAGGCAAAGAAGCTAGACTGCTTTAAAGGGAGTGTAGAAGGGAATGTAATTAACATTGTACTGCTTACCTATTAAAAAGAAAGACATGTTGTGATTCACTTTCTTAAACAATGTTGTGTTATTGTTTATATTGAACAACAAGGAATAATTGTTTATTAAGTAATAAAACAAAGTCTGAAGACAAAAAGTGTGACTAGTTCCTTATCAATTAAACTCAATGTTTTGGCATGCACATGTTGATACCCATTCAATTGTTTGATTCTCTAATCTGTTGCTGGCGAATCTACAATTTTTTTTATGTTCTCCAAGACAACTGCGGTTGTGAATTAGGGGCTGCATAAGCATAAAATGAATTGCATGGAATTGGTGGTTTCTAAATATCATTCCCACAACTTGAGATTGAAGCACTCTAACTTTTGTTTTGGTAGTTGTTTGTCTCAGCTATAAAACATGTCATACATTGCCTTTCATTTCATTTAATTTCAAATACAAGGAAACATGAAATGGGTGGTCCTGTTTTGTTTTACTTTTATGTCTAAAAAAGCTAATTGAAGATGTGACAGAGGCCAAAAATGTATGCATGTGAACAATAGTGATAGAACCAAATGAGACACAAGCATTTTATTACTAGTTATATTTGTTGTAGCTTAAATAATAAATAATAATAATGATAAAAAAGGCAAACAAATATAGCAGCCGCGTGTTTGTCCGCTTGGTGGCGCTGTGTGTGTCCCGCTCACAGACCAGAGGAGGTGGTGGCCCCTGAACAGCCTCACTGCTCAGACACTTCCTTAGCTCTGGCCCCGCTGTGGTTTCACAATCCATTCATGTCTTCCGATGAAAGTTAAGATTCTGCCGCGCATTTAGTTGGTTTTACGCTAATTATCTGCCGCTCGTCTCCTAAATATTCACCAAAATGTCGCAGCCTGCGGTGGCCGACACACGCCGGCTGAACTCCAAGCCCCAGGACCTCACGGATGCCTACGGCCCCCCCAGCAATTTTCTGGAAATAGACGTGTTTGATCCACAGACCCTGGGCGTGGGTCGAACCCGGTATACCGTATACAAAGTCCGCATGCGGGTAGGTGCGCAAACTCAAGAGAAAACACGTTTGTTAGGCTGATTGTGTAAGCTAGCTGATATAAATGACAGTGTTATTAGCATTAGCTTTAGCATAGTTAGCTAATGCACCGGAACTGGGGAAACTGCAGGGAATGAACGCGAGTCAAGCTGACAGAAGAGGTCCAACATGGCGGTCAGCAAAAATCAAGAGCCGAGGATGAGCTTTGGCCTAGTTCATAATGTATGTTATTCATATGTGCATCTGTAGAGGTTTGCCCTAGAGTTTTAGCTTATTGAATCCACAATCGTACTGCACCAACATTAGCATATTAGCTGTCTCATAACGTTACTAATAAATTACTAACCAGTTGCATATCAAGCTGATACAGCAATTGCATTTCATGTTTTGGTGTTACTATGTTAAAGTTCAAGGTACTGTTCTCTTCAATCAGACAAATACATGAAAGCACAGATTAGGCTTCTTAGCATTTAAATCCAAATACGGTACATGTAAAATATAGTTATCAACCTTTTTAGAAAAGGTTTTAATGCACATATAATTGCCTTTTCTTAAATTACGTATTGCTGACACAGCTAAAAAGTAAACATCAGGAAACTTGCTCCATTCTTGGTTTCTTGGCTTCATTTCCTTTAGTTCCTCATTTACGTTGTCACTATCTACTTTCTGTTACAATACACACATTCTTGGAATCTTAAAGTAAAGTATATGTGACACTTACGTTTTACTGAACTTTAGAAGTTAACACGGCCTTCCAGTTAACATCAATATATTTTCATTTGTAGACAAACCTTCCCATTTTCAAACTGAAGGATTCCTGTGTGACAAGAAGATACAGTGACTTCGAGTGGTTAAAAACTGAGCTTGAAAGAGACAGTAAGGTAAGCAAAAATCATATATATTGTTCATAAGTTTGCGGCATGTTCCCTCAAGATTTAATGAAACAGGATTTTTAGGATCAGTCAAAAATGTGTTTAAATGTACAAACTCTGATTTCCCCTCATGAAAAGTGTTGATACGAAGTAATAGTAAGATGTGATATATCTATGAAGCATTGATTATTTGTCTTTATTAATTCTACTTGATCATTGTTAAATACCAGCTGTTTGGATTCTCATTGAACCAAAACAGATGATTCTCTGCAGTTGAGGAACAGGAACTACTTAACTTGATTTCAATATATGTTGTGTGTAAAGAAAGAGAATAAAGAATGTATTTCATGTATTACTGAAATATCTACACTAGGGGTCTCCAAACCGGTCCAAAAAAGGCCGGTGTGGCTGCAGGTTTTCTATCAGACCAAGCAGGAGCAGAGCGGACTCCACCCATTTCCTCAAATCTTCAGGTTAAGACTTACTTGAGGAAATGGTTGGGGTCTACGCTGCTCCTGCTTGGTCTGATAGAAAATAGTGGCCCTTTCTGGACCGGTTTGGAGACCCCCGATATAATTATACACAAAACCTTTGTGGGTCCTGTGCTGCAGATTGTAGTGCCGCCGCTGCCTGGGAAAGCCCTGAAGAGACAGCTGCCCTTTCGCGGAGACGAGGGCATTTTTGAGGACTCCTTCATCGAGGAGCGGCGAGTGGGTTTAGAGCAATTCATTAACAGGTCAGCCATTTTAAACTTTTATTTATGAATAAAAGCCGAGAGAGCACACTGTTTTCGCTGTAAAGTATAATTTGGATTGGATAATTGGATTTTTTTGGATACATTTTGTTCTTGGATATATAATTTTAAATATACGGTCACAAATGTAGTGTCTCATTCATTCACTCCACAAATATTGGTGATAGACCTCTACTGTAGCCTCAGCTGCAGTGGACTGCAGGACGTGAGGCCACCACACCGGTGCCATCACTAGTTCATCTTTAGATCACTTTTCTTAAACAGAAAAGGGAAAATCTTGACATTTTTATTTGAGTGTTTAAAGTATTGACAAAAGACTGCTATTATTTATACTTAATTTATTGCAAATGTTTTTGATACAATGGGTATGCTATTGGAAAGGTAAATAACTATTGATGGAGTTAATTGGAAAATTCAATCTTGTTCAATTTAATATATTTTTGTAAAAGCCCCGTCTTTGAGCAGTCATCTTCACAAAATTGTCAACTTTGCCAGCAACAGTTTTGAAAATCAAATAATTAGAACCCTGGAAAGATAATGGTAAACGCATTAGAGCCATTGATCCATAGTTTGTGGGATGACAAAAAGGACTGTGTTCCATATTTTTTGTGTTTGAACGGTTAGATTTTCTGATCCGTGTTGGCGATTTCAACGGTTTTATTAAGTCCTCCGAGATAACTACTGTTGTGATTAGGGATGTAAAAAACTATGCATTTTCATGACCGACCACCGAGCCTCATTAACCGGTTGAAACCGGTTAACCGCGTAGTTTAAAATATTCCACGTTCTTTGAAATAGCAGCCATTTCGAGCCGCATACTTTTCATAAGTTTATCTATGCGTTCTACTAGATCAGAGCTGAGACAGCGGCGCCAAACCCCGCAACAGCTTCGGCACCTTTGCGCACAGAGAACTGCTTTTTTAATCTTCCCATACTGTGCTGCGGGTTAAAGCATTTTTAAGCAAAAGACGGCTTGTTCACATGGTCAGAGCAGCGAGTTACACCCCGCGTCTTGCAGGTCTCCGCTAAAGTTTAAAAGTGATGTGTGTGGATCTGATCTAATGACAAGGACCAGCAGCACAAACATGTTTCATGTGTTTGACTGGGGCTGCGTATTGGCGAGGATTCTTTGGGCTGCGAGACAGAGGTGCGCGACAGACCGGTATGTGTGTGTGTACAATACATGTATGTATGTATGTGTGTGTAAATATAAGCTCCAATGTAGTTCTGACCTGCACTAGTGTGGAACTTTTAACAGAGGGGAGAGATGATGCGTGTGGATGTTACGTATGGAGGGGGGGAAAGTGTTTGTTTGTGTGTGTGTGTGTGTGTGTGCGCGGGCGTGCGTGTGCGTGGCTGCGTGCATATGTGGAGCGTAAGCCATGAAAGTCGCCCGTAGTCTACTAATGCATTGGCGCACACAGCTAGATACGGACCCGCTCGTCACATCGTACAAATAGGGCTTATTAATAGCCTTATTAAGAGACCTCCCCTCTCCGCTTTTTCTTATTTTTAACCGACAGCTTTGACCGGTTAACGCTGTGACGGTCAACCACCGGTTAAACGGTCACCGATTTACATCCCTAGTTGTGATTAGGGCCATACAATAATGAATTGAATTGAATGACCAATGTCTGCAAATGTTTATAAAAGTCTGTAAAACTGTCCCTAGACCCTCTTGCATTGACTTGGAAAAAGTCAAAAAACCCAGTGACAGAAGCCGTGAGAGGGAGAGGGACAGGATGTAGATCCAGGACTTTGGAGGCTGAGTCTAGTGCCACAGAAATCCTAGAACTGAGCTTTCCCTGTGGACTCATTTACTCTCCCCTTGTGTCAATGTTAAGTTTATTCTCCCCTCTGCCTCTCTGTCCCTGTAGAATTGCCGGTCACCCTTTGGCCCAGAACGAGCGCTGTCTTCACATGTTTCTTCAAGAGGAAACCATTGACCGAAACTACATTCCCGGAAAAGTACGACACTAGGGTTACAGCGGCATTCACTTAATACCTCTACGCACTGGTTCTCACTTTTTTCTTCTCAATCTTCACTTTCAATTTGCATATTCTATTGTAAAGTTACTTGTGGTGATAGTAAGTTCTTTTACTATACAGCAAGTTGATGACTCTTTCCTCTCTTGTGATATTTATTCTTTTGTATAATATAAAACGTCAGTAAACGTTTTATTGTAAGACAGAATCCGGCCTTTAACCTCTTGAGACATTGTATAATACATTCCTCCTTTACTTCCATGTCATGATTGTAAAAAAAATGAATAAAGTAGAACGATGTCTACATTTTGGTGTGGGCACTAGTGTATGTTACTGCAACGATAGAGCTGCATGCTGGATGTCTTAACATGAGTCTGACCTGTTTTGTTTCTCTTTTGTTTTGTAGGTATGAGTGAAGTAAGTTTATTTTATTGTATAATTTTATCCACTCATGTGTCAGAGAGCTTTGTATAATAGGTGGTTGCATAAGAGGCATTGGAAATACAAAAATTCTAGCAATTCTTTAGCAGACCGGTTGAGAAAGTTGGCCAAATTTGAAATGTGAACCAGTTTTTTTGAAGCTATAGTTATATGGATGCTTTGATTTTTCTAGAGGAGAGTTGCCATCTCCTTTGATAGACAGATGTGCCATATATTCCAGTTTTACGGCATCAAAATTATTTTCACCTTTTAATTCAAAATCACAAATGTTTAAATGCTGTTTAAAGTGTAGTCTTCCGGCTAAATCAATTACATAGAGACAAGCAGGTGACCAATTCTCCACCTAAACTATTGCAGGGAGCTATTGCCATGGTTATAATTAGCTAAATGAACCTGGCCCAGTTATAAGTGGTCTAATATTGTGAGCTCTTGTTCATAATGAGGCCTGATTTACAACCATCAGAAAGAGCTCTTTGCCACAGTCATTCTTATCCAATGTCTTTTTTTATTCATTTTTTTTGCTCTAATCCTTACCTGCATGGCACAACCGCACGCTTACCTCACCATCTATGATTCTAACATGCACCCAATCATTTCCATTGGCACCGTTTTGTTCGTTTAGAAGTAAAACGTTTAAGTCATGTTTACAACGCCCATTTAAACTTGTGGTGAATGGGACTTCAGGGGTCTTGCACATCAAAACCAGACATGTATTATATTGATAAAGGGCTGCTGAGACCCTGGTTGGATCTTTGAATATATATGATACCGATTGATATTAACCTATAGTTAGTTGCAGAAAAACTAATGTACTTTGTAATACGTTTAGAATCAAAATTATGTTATTGCCATGTGAGTAACAAGAATTCACAAACTAGGAAATTGCTTTGGCTCTCGGTGCAAACAAGTTAATTATTGTTATTTTCTTTTAATATTATTATTATTTATTTTATTATTTATTTTCTTGCGATCTCCAGGGGCTTATGTTTGTTTGTCTATGTGTTTGTTAATAATTGAAAAATCATAAATAAATGATTATAAAAATAAATAAAGTAGAGAATGGATTAAGGCATGAATAAATACATATCTACATTTTTTTAACAGAAAAAATTACTAATGTGATTTGTGCAGAGAAAAGGCTATTTTCACTCCCGTTCGCTTCAGGGAATCTGCAGATTTCAAAACGCCCATTGGACTTTAAATTGAGCACAAGGAAATGTTTAAATACTTGAGTCAATTCCATAAGTCATAAATAAATATGATTGGAAAAAGTCAATTAACAAATCAAATGTGTTTTGAAATATGTACCATGAAATATCTTTATAATTAATCCAATGTGGCTCTCTTAATCCTCCAAATTAAACAACAGAAAGATGGTGAGGTTTTTTCAGTTGGATAAAAAATTAAAAAATATAAAGCAGTGCCGTACATTTGGGTGGTATACTCTATTTGGTGATTTCCAAAATGTCTCACAATTTAAAAAAAGGTACACGCACATTTCTTTTGTATACGCACTTTGTGACTCTGAAAGGCACTATATAAATACAGATTACTACTTGCATTAAGAGAGATTACATGGAAGAGGGAGGGGCTTTGAACAAAAGTGTTAAAAACTTCTCACTGGTTTGTTGGAGTTGTTGTTATGAGTGTAAGTAGGAGTTTGGAAAGACAAGAGAATTATTTATTATGGGGGACAATGGCCTCTTTTCTATCTCGGTCTTCACATTGAATCTTGACCCAGATACAATAGACACTGATAAATTTAGGCCAATGTTGAAAATTAGAGTCAGGTTTGCAGTTATAGTAAAAGCATAAATATTTTTCATCTACACCCTTTAGTCACACACTTTCTACTTACTTAACCCTAACCCTACTTTTTTTGAGATGATACATGCTCTATGCTTAATACACTGTCAGTCCTGCCATTAGTAATGCAAATTTAGGCAACATTTATTTTGGACATTGTTTTTTTGCAATCCTGTAATGGAAATGAGAAGTCAAAAAAATAATAGAAATTGTTATGAATGCCATGAATTCGGGAGTTTAAATTGTGATTGTGACATTTCTTCTAGGGTAACTCATTCCAGTAACAAATAATCGGCTTATTCAAGACCAGAGACCAAGCGATACTGCAGGGAAAACAAACAACATTTTTGACAAACTGAGCTTTCTTGTAGATTGATAAAATTAGGTCAAAGTAATGTAAAGTAGGATTTAACTAAACGTGCAAATATTTTTTCATTGAATACAGCCAATAGTTATCACCCATTCAACTTTTTTGTTTGTAGTCATCCAAGAATTTGAGAATTTCATGTTTGAAGTTAATGTAACTTAAAGCATCTTTTTGGGCAAAAAATAGACAACAATCTGAAGATGAAATGCAAGAAACGCACCCAAATTTGTCTAATCTTGTCTACATAATGCTGTAGAGACTGTGATAGTAGCCAGACCAAAGCTGCATGTTGCTGATTGTAAAATGGATCTATAGTGAAAAATGTAGGGTTTCTAAAGTCAATATCCTCCCCACTTTTTACCCATAATTAAAGGAACTATATCGGCTGCTAAAGAAGTCACAGTAATAATAATAACAATTTTTTTCACTTCAAAACATTTGTGAATGAATTTGTCATATTTGCCATTGGAATAAGCACTTCTTGTGTAAGAACTGAATTAGCTCAATCAATTGCACATGCTTGTTACAATGGAAAATTATACTCTTATTAAAGCTGGGGTACCTAACTTTAGCCTGTGTTTGGGTTTAAAAAGGTTTCAACAGATTACAAGTACATCCCCTACGTTGCGTTCATGTTCAAGAATTCAATTTTAGTTTTGAGGGCAGATGTTCATACAACTCTATGGGGAAAATAACCCTTGTGCTATCCTTGCTCAAATAGACCCACCAGAGATTCAAAATACCCAATATTTTCTAGCTGAAATTGGATGATTTTTCCTAACTTGACCATCCCATGGTCATTTAGATCCTAATTTAGGGTATTTTTTGCACAAGAATTAAAAATGTTTTTCCCAGATTGTCATTTGATAGTGATTAGATTCACAGCCCTGCCACAGGCTTGGCCAACATCATGCGTATGATTGTTTAGATTTTTATGATTGTCACCATGTCTTGACATCATTATGAGAAAATAATTTGTACTAACAAAGAAACTGTGGTACCTTATTAAGAATTACAGGAATGACTGTGAACTAAGACTAGAGGTTTTGCTTTTGACAGTTACCATAGTTACCAGGAAGATTTTTTTCAGCCGCCCTCTAACGGAATTTTCTGACGTAATTTTGCATGACATTAACGCAACCGCTCTACATATGAGCATGTTGCCCTTGTGTCTGGGGATGTATTTAGTTTAAAATAAATTCATTATAAACACAGTGCAACCTTTTTAACCTCTAGTTTTCCGCTAACAGTTCCTACCTGCATGATGCCTCCCTGTTGTTTAGACATTGTGTTTTATTCAATTATACTCATTCTGATTCACTGTCTTCTTTGTTTCTCCCAGAGCTGAAGCAGACGGCTGGGCCTGCGCTTTGTACATTATATTTCTACATCTCTCCATTTTAAACTCGTGGAGAAAAAACAAGTATATACACAGAGAAAAGATTAGACAATGCTACATGTGTACGTGTCTTTTTCAACCATTCCACATGTTGCGAGTTTGTCTGTGTGAATCAAACATCGCAAAACACCCAACTTTTATGATTTATCTTTTTTTTTTTTTTGATCATTCCTGTATAGCCATGGATGATGCCCACATGTAGCGTTCCACAGTTACTGATAACATCATGTTTCAATGCAGTGAATTGCAGGAAATTAGCTGCAAAAGATCAAATTTCATTTTTTGGCATTCTAAATGTCAATATTGAGCACTGTGACAAAACTTATACTTAATCAAATTCATCATTCCTTTTTTTTTTTCAATCAGACCATTCCTGGCATTTGTTTTGTCCCTCATTAAAAAAAACAGTTGTGAACTTTATTAATGAATTTTCAGCATTGAGAAAAGGCATTGTTATTCTGTCAATACTGATTAAATTCTTGCTGCCTGCTGCGGTCTCCCGTCTGGTTTTGTGAGCTCAATCATTCAAAGGAAAAATGTTTCAAAGGTTTGGAAGCTCTATGGTCATGAGCTTTGACCATTAGGATGAGATTGTGAATACAAGTGGTCAAAATGAGTTTCGCCTGCAGAGTGAGAAGCTCGGTCACACATGAGGAGCTTGGATTAGAGCCACTGCTTATCCACGTTGAGAGGAGCCAGTTGAAGTGGCTCGGGCATCTGTTGTGGATACGTCACTGGGAGGAGACTGGGGAAGACCCAGGACACGTTGGAGGAACTATGTCTCCAATGTCCAGGAAACACCTTGGATTTCCCCCAGATGAGCTGGAGAAAAGATTCTTTCAGATTTATAGTATAATCATATTTATTTTATGGTGATAAATAATGAACATCTCTGTCCATTGGAAGTAAAAATGGGTAATAAAAGCAATTTCAAAATTAAGTTAATATTAAAATCAGGATAATTCTTATTTTGTGTCCTTT